TTTATTGTAGAAAACTTATTATTGAAAATAAGTATGATATATTATACATTTTGGGAAAGCTTGTAAAACAATAAATCTTTCAAAACCGTTGTAACCTCTAAACTGTGTAACGATTCCATTTAAAAAATTAACTTTTCATTACAACTCAGCTACTAAAAGGACTAGAAATAAACGACTGACGGCATTGATTTCTACGTTAAAAAGTGCCTCAACCTATTTTGTTCTAGCTTCAAAAATAATAAAGGAGTTACAGCAAATTGAAGGAATCTGCCACTTTTCAGTTTTTCTCTCTAGTGAAAAAACAAAAGACGGCGGCTTATTTCTGGCAACGGTAATGGAATAAGCATGAAAAAAGAGGTCACAAGTATTTAAACCTTTTTCGTTTATCTGCGCTAATAAGAAAGTTACGCATTTAATCCCATCGAAATTAGACCACACCGTACAGCACATTACATATTCTGTTAAAAAAAATAAAACTTCAAACACTTTAACATTCTTTTAATGTATTGATGTTTACCATTTTATACATAAATTGCTTGGCATTGAACTGACAATCCTAAAATATTCGACATACATCAGTCTTCTTATTCTATGGAAACTTTTGGTCTTAAAGTAGATAAAATCAGATTTTCATTTTTTTTTAAATTTCACTGGTTCGTTACTTTTTTTTTGCATACATCACATAATGTACCACCTTTATTATATTCCTCTATTACAAGTTTTTTTACATAGTGATGCCACCTTAAGAATTTTCCTTTTATTTCCTATACCTAGTTCGAAAAGTTCAGGTTCTGCATAAAACAATACATAATATTCTCTTTTAATAGTGTCATTACACAGGACTTGGTGCAACTTCTCCTTGAAAAATGTTTCAATTTCACAAATATCTGAATTAGTTATTGTTGAAAGTACATCTAACGTTGTTAAGCCTTGAATCAAAAGTACTTTCTTTATGTTGGTAGGCAAATATGTCACAGGTAGTTTGACTGTGATTAAAATTTGGTCAAGTACTTGATCGATCTCGTGATCCGTGGGGAAGTTCGCCATTACTAAAATAAAAAATTAGTCAGATAGGTAAAGGTATATCATAATTATGTCATATATGGGACAAAGACTCATGCACAATTTTCCATTTTTTCTGAACAATTCTTTTTTCCTTTGCTTATTTTAGAACATTAAAAAAGACAATCCAAAACTAGTTTCTGTAGTAATATGTTACTGTTTATGTTAACCATCCGACAATTTAGTTTTTTCTTAGGTTTGTGAGGATTTTTTAAAATAAATTTGTAAGTATTGGGAGTTTTCGAAAATTTGTAACCTGCACATTTATTATTGGGCGTAAAAATTGGCAAATGCATAATAAATTAATATTGACTCACCTTCCTCAAGATGTGTTGGACTAAAATGGAAAACAAACACAGTAAACACTCAACTGTATAAACTGGGCCCTTACAAAGGTTACCGTCGATCCTCTGGGTCGATCACGCAAACAAATCCAGCCCGGGACTCTGGTGTGATATTAGGTAGAGGCTCAGAGTATTCTAAGGGTAGAGGCATTGAATTTATAACTATCAGCATTGAATTTATGATAGTTATAAATTCAATGGTAGAGGTACCTATTGACAGAAATATGGAACATTGGGATGTACTGTGAGATAATTGCGGACAGTGAGAGACCCCTCTTGAAAATGTCCGCTATTTAATAGCGTTTTCGATTGGCAAAACTCGTGCTGCACGAGTGTTGCACGAGAAACTGAAGAAATGCATGTGAAAATTGCTCTCAATGGAACATAAATATTTGTTATCATTTGTCCATAACCTAATTTTAGATTTGTATTTATACAATGATTTAGGTAATCGACAAATCTGTATTCTAAAAAATGACTGAAACGATTTCACTATTATTTATGATAAACAATGAGGAATATAAATTTGAAATTCCTGTAAAGAACCAATTTTTGGCGTTCACTTTAAATAGTAAATGCAACTTTTTGTAAAGTCTAAAGTAGATGTTATATGGCTAGTTTATCATCTTCGCTATCGCTAGATGACAACAAAAAACTCTCTAACGCAAGAAACAAATTCAAATTGTCGCACTTTTATTTTGAAAATTTGCTCCACGAGCTCTCCGATCTCGTGCGTCAAAATTTGCATTTAGTGCGTAATTGTTGCATCACATTTGCCAATGGAACACAGAAAATTGCCCTAAAATTACCAATAGAACGTAAAAATTGCACTCGTGAAGCACGAATTTTGCCAATCGAAAACGCTATAAAAGATGTCTTATATGGGCCGGCTTTCAGATTATAAATTAATATTCAAAACAAACGCATTTATGACCGTTTGCACCAACAAATCTGTAGTCAATTTGCATTTCAATGTTATTGCAATTGGTTAGACCAACCAACAATACAGATAACAGATGATGTACCTATACTCGTTGAGTGAGGTCAACGGTGTGTTCCCAGTTTTGTATATTATCGTTGAGTGAAGGATTATTTAATTACTCAATGATATTATCTTCATTTATTGTTTAAGGTGGCGTTTACATTGAAAAAGTGGAAATTTGTTTCCACAATAACTTCCTTCTGAGTATACAGTTTTGGTTGAAACAACATTCATTTCATTCAAATATATCTTAGAGAAGGAAATATTATAATGTTCCAACATTTGCATGAAACAAAAATTATTCAGCTAATTTCTGTACTTTCGCCGTTATTTCGGAAAAGAAGTTCTTAAAAAACTCCCATATAAAATATACATCTTTCATTTTTATCACACACTGATAATAATTTATTGTTACCAAATTTAACTTCATTCACAAGCTAAAACCTTTTAGCAACCATCGGTCGTTAACAAAAGTTCATTTTTTTTTACCTCGAAACAAAGTTATTAAGGAAATCGCAAGGCAACTTTTTCACTTTTTGTAAACGCCACCATAGACCATGTATAATGATTAAGGACTAATTAGCTAAAAAAGTTTATCGAAAAGTTGTACAATATTTGTATGAATATGCACAAATTCCTATTTCTTTTACCATTGAAAAAATTACTCATTCAATGCTTTTACCATTTTCTTTATTCAAAAGGCTTTTACTGAATTTTCCTATAAAGACACCTTCTGCAAATTACCTGGTTCTAGGATAATTAATGGACAAAATTAGCAATGTTTGTTTCCATTTTTAATTGCACCTTCATTTCCTGTCGTTTGTTGTAATGAATTTTACTAATTTATAATTATTAGGTAGGTAAACATGTTCATGAATGAATTCACTTAGATATGGTAGATCGGCACTTCAAACACCTAAAATAAATCTCTTTCTTTACTTATGCAAGCTGTTTCACGGAAACCGTTACCTAAAAGTTTTCAGGCTCCCATTAAAAATTTCGCATACCGACATAGTTTTTCATGATCTATCGAAAGAAAATATTACCATGATTATTTCACTTCTGGTTTTACCAGAAATGGATAGCAACTTTCTTTTTTATTTTATTTTAAATAAAAGACTCTGTATTGCATTCGAAATCTACATGAACATCTACGTCGTTAATTGATACCACATTTCCCTATAGGTATACCCAGCATCAAAGGTTTTCAAGTTATTTAAGGTTTTTAAATTTTTTGACGTTTTGACTGTTTTTCTTTTGAGAAAAAGTTTTCCAAAATCAACAATACTGACTTGCTACATGAAAATGATTTAAATTTTGATCGCCCTTTTACAGGGTGTTTAAAACTAATGATCAATTTTACCAACTTCAAACCGTAAAAAGTTGATTTTTTAAATGGTACCTACTGCGTTCATTAGAGGGATGTGACTAATTCACTAATGTATTGAAAAAAACGGTGGCCACGTAGAACAAAACCTCATTTGATGTTTGTTTTTATTCTGTCGTTTGTTATTATGACTTATTTCTGTTGATTAACAAGCTCCTAGCGAGTTTATAATTTTGCGGTGTCTGTCCGTTAGCACGAAACCAGGCCATTTGTAGAAAACATCAACTAGCGCGTCTAGTGTTAATCTGAATCACGAATTTTCGTTTCGGTGCATTATTGGGATAAGGCGTTCTCGCTTAAATAAGGTGTTACTACGAAAGTGCTCAGGTCCAAGGTGCAAAACATTTCCGTTTCGCCAATTTGTAGTGGCAAGTTACCTAAAAAACCAGTTTTATTATTCAAAGTTGTGGGCTTTGATTATATATTTACTGGATAGCGCATTCTATTGATATAGAACAGTACAACCCGTGTTTCCAATTCGTGCAACCCAGACAGCTATAATTTTTCAGTGAAAAAAAATGAGATAGAAGAAGTTTGTTCCAGTTTGAATTGCGCATGTCAGACGTTAATAAACCAGTAACTAATGGCGTTATCCGTATAACATGCACTATGCGTTTCTTATATATATGGTTTTTACCGCTCCTGCTAAAGCGGATGTGGTTTGACAGGATATCTTCTTGCGTTTTAGCAGGAGCGGTAAAAACGCATAGTGTGACACCACATTTAAAAGTTCTATGAAAAAAAGGGCAATTTCATGTAAAATTTAACAAAAAAACTCGTCAGAAAAATAACTATTTATGAGGTGCTCATAACCTTATAAATAAAACGCCAACCGGTAAGAAGGTTAAAGGCAATAAATTTGTGTTTTTGGTAGCTATCAACACCCAATGTAATAAGGGTTATTTTGGACATTATCATACTGTGGAATATTGGTAATTTTTCTCATAATAAGTAAACTAAATTGGAACTAATAAATTCTGAGGAACCTGAAACATTTTGTTGGCTTTATTGTAATTCGTTGTGGTTTACAGGTACTTCTATTTTACAAGGTTCACTTACCATTCTACAAATTTGTCACTGCCTTTTCCCATTGCTACTATCCATTTTTTTTAAACTTAGTTCCGCTTTGATGCTTAGTAAACACTTTTTGAGGAGCTACAAGTGTAGGATCTTAGATATTGTATCGAGTGTTGTACATTACGCGTTTTTCAATAAGAACTACAAATAAGTACACTTTTTATTTCAATCTAACAGGTTAAAAGATTAACAAGACCAACTTATAAAAATTAAATTCCTCACAATAAATCTCATATTATGTGTATACATATTATAATAAACTATAAACATTCATAGACAATACAAGTCAGTAGTATAATTGAGCTTATAGACATAGCAATGCTACTAAAAATACCCATACTTTTTGGCTTTAGGTACAATGATATGTTTAAATAAATTATAGATATGCGAATTTTATTGGATCTATGATAAAGTAAAAAAAAATATACAAAGTGTATATACTTATGGGAATAAATTTTGAATTAACTGATAATGATTTGTACAGATTTTGTGAGATACTGTCGGCTCAGTATTTTTTGATGTTGTTTTATTGTATTATCACTATGTTTTTTTCTTTCATTGGTTCCTCTGCACAATAATTTAAACACGAATCGCATATGCGAGGCCATTATTGCATATCGCACCTTTAAATATTAATTTAATCAACTGCCTATAATAAAATTCAAATTTTTAGTATACTTCTTTTGGCAATCATAACATGAACATTAATTATAATATTATTGTAAGACCACAACAAAATAAATATATATATTTTTTTATCATTCTTTGTAAATCACAGCGTGCTGATATTAGTCTCTCTCGAGTCGTATGATACAGAGACAGTAGGTAATTCGTATCAAGTCGTTTCAGTGATATTCTCATTGAGCTTTATCATTATCTTTCAAAGTGGAGAGTTATCGTTAAAATGTATGACCATCCGAATGTCGGTGACTTAAAGTGTTGGAATGTAAGTTGTTTGTTGATTCCTAAAAAAGGATATTATTATAACAGTACTTTGTAATCACTAGTCAAAAAATTTTTATGTGTTACTGATTGGACACTAAAGAGTAATATCCATTTCCAACCTTCTAAACAAAGTAGGCACTAAAATTAAGTGTCTTGAAATGCATATATACATATGGTTTGGAGACACCTTCATGTGATTTTTGTCACTGATTTTGATATTGCATGCAAGCGTGCAAAGGTGACAAGTATGAGCGTAAAGAGCTTTTATTAAAAGAGAGCCACTGATTGTAGTTTAATAAATAAATAAAAATTGCAAAAACACAACCATTTAGATAGTAACGGGGAAGTTTAATGGAACAAGTACCTATCACCACACCTCCAACTACATCAATTTAAAATTATAGTATGCATCCCTCACCAGTTCATAAAACTGTGAAAGAACAAGTTTTATAAGAAATTGGGAAGAGACAAGCTTCTAAACTAGACAAAGAATAGAGGGATAATAAATAAGATGGGGCTTAACCACATTATGCTCTGGCTGATAGGCAGTGACCCAATCAACTGTATCATGGTAAATGGATTGGCAGTAGGGCTGGGCGATTACGGGTTTGAATAATCGATAATGAAAAATAATCGATTACACTGATTAATCGATTAATCAAATAATCGATTAATCAAATAATCGTTTAATCAAATAATCGTTTAATCAAATAATCGATTAATCAAATCATCGATTAATCACCTAATCGTTTAATCAAAAGTCGATTGTCACATACAAGGAGTGATAAATATCTGTTTGTATGCATTAATACGTTAATTATTTAATAATAAAAATAAAAAATAATTCCATTATTCTTTTCATCAAATCGTTCATTACTAGGCAGATCGATTAATCAATAATCAACAAAGTGTCCCTGGTTCGAATCCGGGTTCGGGCATGGATATTTGCAAATGCATAGTGGGTTGGTTGGTAGAACAGCCTTGGCTGAAACCCTGCCCATTTGAAAATGAAGTTCAAAAATAAAAATAAATAAATAAAAATAAATGATTAGGCAGCTTACTCTCCGATGAGGTGTGCTTATTAGTTTTGATGATACAATCTTAATTCATTTTAGCTGCTTAAAGTGACGTTTTAACATCCGCTATAAAATAAAATAATACTTGTGAGCTGTGAGTGCTCCTTTTTGCGTAAACTGATGATCCAGCTAATAATAATCAATTAAAATTTACTTAATAATTGATTAATCAAACAATCGATTAATCAAATAACCGATTAATCAAATAATCGATTAATCAAACAATCGAAATCAAATCGATTAATCGATTAATTTAATAGAATAATCAAACCCGATTATCGATTATCGTTTGATTATAATCGATTAATCGATTTTTTTGCCCAACGCTAATTGGCAGAGAAGGTGCCATAGAATGACAAAAAAAATTGAAAACGTCCTGCTCAAATAAAACATTCCCCCAAGATTAAAATTGATACGTTACCTGAATTATACTTTTAAATCAATAAATATTATCAAATGCAGGCTGCTGGATTTATGATGCAAAAGTTATAGGGTACAATTTAACGAAATAAACAATTGAATGCAAGTTTCCTAAACTAAGAACGCTATTTTAAAATTAATAAAATAATACAATTAAAGTCTTACGCGCAAAAAGTATAAATGATTGTTCAGAGAAACGCGCACGCAATTCAGTTTATTAAACGCGTCGTGCAAAGCCTATCTGAAGGTACCATTCCAATATTGGCAGTCGGAACCCAGCAGCTCCAACGTGGTCGCGGGGCACTGCTCTAAGGGCGCTCTCCGATCCAGTCGACTACGTCGCGCCACCGGGAAGCATAGCCAGGTCGCGATCGTGGCGGGACAGCGCAGCCGAAGTGGATCGAAACTGTCAAGATTGGAAAGGTATCTTTACCTTGAACCGGTCGGTATGACTTCACACAGGTTCCGGGTGACCCAATAAGACTGTTCCTCGGTCACATCTCGGGAACCGTTGGTATGACTTAGGGCTAAAAAAAATTATTGGGTAAATAGGTGATGAAGAATCGCTGTAAAATATTTTCAAGTTCTAAAAATGACCACCAGAGGGCGTAACTGCCATTTTAAATTTTAAAATTGCATTTTCTTTAAATTTCGCATAATAAACTAAGCATTATTTTTTCACATTTTTAAAGAGAACCAGTTTATCTATCATTTTCGTAAAAACAAAAACTCAGTTATTTCAAAAACAAAGATGGTGTGGGGCGTTCAATTGTTTTTGCAATAACCTGCTTTAATTTCTTAACCGTTTGACCGACTGTAAGAAGTTTGGTATGGTTGAAAAGAGCATTCCTTGGGCAATGAGAATCAATTAAATGCTTCTTGGTTAGAAATCGGCATTTTAGAAAAGATTACAAATTCAAAAAACTGCACTTTCTGAATCTAAACACAGCAGAATAATTTACAAATTACGGCAGTTATTATTTTATAATGCATCGTGTTTCATTTGTTTAATTTTCCAAGGCCTACCTAAAAGTGTAGGGTCCTTTTCCAAAAAATCTTTCGCGCCATCGACATCTACCGGAAATACGTCAAATAAGATACAATTTCAGCATTTTAATTAATTAATTAATTAATCTTATTGTCCCAATATTTGATAGGAACGAGATTTTGAAAAACGGTTTTCACTGGCCTCTTTGGATGTTATTTGGCTACTTTTTCATAAAGAAAAAGTCATACCATTCCATTTGATTTTTTTAGGATTTTGGGTCATGGTGTCATAACTAGCACCCTGGCGGAGAAGGATTCAACTAAATTAACTATATTTGGTTGATTCTTGTTGCCCAAGGAATGCTCTTTTCAACGATACCAAATTTGTTACAATCGGTCAAACGGTTAAGAAGTTAAAGCAGGTTATTGCAAAAACAATTGAACGCCCCACACCATCTTTGTTTTTGTAATGAGTTTCTGTTTTTACGAAAATGATAGATAAACTGGTTCTCTTTAAAAATGTGAAAAAATAATGTTTGGTTTATTATGCGAAATTTAAAGAAAATGAAATTTTAAAATTTAAGATGGCAGTTACGCCCCCTGGTGGTCATTTTTAGAACTATTTTCCAGCGATTCTTCATAACCGATTTACCCAACAATTCTTTTTACCCTTAAGTCATACGACGAACAGTTCCCGAGATATAGCCGAGGAACAGTCTTATTGGGTCACCTGGTATATGTAGGTAATAAGACCCAGATTTCCAACAAGTACAGAAAAGTATAACGACAAAGGCAGTATTAGAACAACCAAGACCTCCTTACATCCTTTTCAGAGCAATACTCGACCTATGTAGCAAAATATTTATTTCTGTTTAGAAGTTGGAAATATAAGGCACAAATTCGTGGATTAATTTGTAGAGTCGCTCGTTAAGGAAAACTAAGAGGCCGTATGTAATTTGCCGCTTGCAACCGTTCCGGTAGGAATATTTAAATTGTTTTTACAGTCGCAGAAAGCTTTCTCCCAGGGAAGGTGGGAGAGAATCAATCTTGTTAAGTTTTAGGCTCCTTAATTACCCATTAATCGATTTTAATTTCTAATAGTACATGAAAACCAGCATTAAAATTACAAAGCCGCGCAACGTCGCTATCAGGTTCAAAAACCTTTATGCAGAAATTACAAGAAACAATGGGGGTTAATTAGAGGTAGGAATTTAGAAACCTCAATTCGGCCAATTAAACTGAAATTAACAGTACCTAGCTAAATAAATATGTTGCAGTAAACGTCATTCCACATGGTCGTGTGGGGTATCAAAACAAGCGCTCTTAATTAATTAGAATTTTAAGACTTAACTACAAATTTTTAGGACGTCAGCAGGCCGCACAATTAATTAAAGTTTAATTATTGGACGTTCTCTGAATACGCTGTGTTGGCTGGAAAAACCCTTGATCCCTCTAAGGCATAGCCGACTTTTATAAAAAGTAAAGCAGTTGTTTAAGAGGGGATCGTTTCCTGCCTTCCGCAAGTAGTTTAATTTTTGATTTTACAATAAGTTTAGCGCACCTTTTTGTTACTTTATTAATTATGGGGGGGGGGGGGGGGGGCGAGATTGTTTCGCTTTCATGCATTTGCTTTCCCGTAGATACCGCTACCGAATCCGATTATTTACTGTTCCAACTTAGGGAAATTGCTGTGCGCTTTTATTTTGTTTTAGCATTCACTAGTATCCGGCTTCCGGGACCGAACCCGCAAAACCGCTACAACCACCGACCTTGACTAGGCGCGAGTTGGCGCTCGAGTCCGTTCGTTCCGCCAGCCGAACACCCAGGTTGCCGTCGACTGCTGCTACTTTCGTCCACTCACATGATTTAATCACTATATTTTGTAAATTTATTTATTTTTCATGCAATTTGTGCGCGGACTTACTACCGAAGTTCGTAGCAATATGTAATGGCTGGTTTCTTCTCTAAGCACGTGAAGTGGAAAGTAAGTCAACGCATTTATAAAAGCACTTGTGGAACAATATTTAGTACTTTTTCCACTAAACACTAATAAATTAACGCGAATACAGCAAGCTCGTCTTGCGTACCTCTCAACTGTCTCTCCCTCCTCATCATCGCATGTGCCCTCCTCCACTCACCGAAACAACCAAAAAGCAACTTCATTTAAATTTTTTAAAATGAGAAGGTAGGTATTCGCTGCAACGTTTGATTGCAATTTTTATATACACGGTAATTCAAAAAAATATATATTCAAGTACCATCTCATGATGTGTCACTCAATGGGGGCAGCATATTATAGTTTTAAGAGGGGGGCAGCTTTTAGTGTGGGAGGTGAATGCGAAAACGATGGTAAAACTTCCTCCTACCTATCCAAATGGACGTGTTTGTGCAATTTTTGATTTTTCATCAAAATGATTCCTTTTGAAATGATAATCCCGTCCAATATTCCAAACCCGCACTCATTTACTGACTAGTCTCTTTTCTACTCGCCTCTGTCAAAATAAATGCAAAAATAGTTAGAAAAGAACATTGTCGCCCCCTTAACACCACGATCCTATTTGACTCAACCTCCCCTCCCCCACCCACACACACTTACCATAGGATTTCGTTTGCTAATATGAATAAGTAGTGATCCCAGTTCTACATCCTCATTGTACATATTCTTCAGGCAAACACTTCTATACCCCGTCCTTAGACAAGTGACCTAAAACGCAAAAACCAAATGAAATAATCAGAAAACACACAAACTACTCACCGGGTAGGTTGCCTGTCCAATAAAATTCGGATCACCAAAAACGTCCTCGTCCTGAACCAAAAACCTTAGCAAGGCAAAATCGGGATTGCAAACGTCAAATTCACAAATCTCATTCCACACCGGATTAAAACCGTTGTCGGCTAAAATCAGAAACTTAAATTCGTCATCGCGCCGCACGTCGGCGATCTCACAAATCGGCTTCGTCGTAAGTTTGACCCCCGAATCGAACTCGGCTCCCACAATTTCCACTTCGACGAACGGGCTCGCCATTCCCTTCTTCGATTTGCTCAAATGTCTCGCCGCGATTATCCGTATCGAAATAGTCATCGGCTCGACGTCCACCAGCGTGTTCTTATCATATGGATCGAACTCGTCCCTGAACATAAAACGAGGCTTCAGGAGGTAACCGGAATTGCCGTTGTCGCGAAACTTCGCCTGATTTAGTTGCATCGGCTTGTCTCCGGTTTGGAAATTTAGCGCCACCATCTGCGAGCCCGAATTCCACAGGTTTATCGGGTTGTAATTGGACGAGTCGATTCGTTGACCTTTTGGATAAACCCGCGAGAATTGAATCTGTCAAAAACACGGTTAGGCAAATGAACTAAAAGGCGCGTTCGTTGGATACCTTGTGATACTTCAGGAAGAATTTGTTTTCTTGTTGGCATATTAATTTTTCCGCCTTATTTTCAGGAAACGATGACATTTCGTAGAAAATAAAGTTTTGCTTCGCTCTTTCGATGGAGAAGGCGACCGAGCGACAGTAAATAATCAAGTTTGACATTTCCTTCGCGATTCGAAAGGCTCGTTCCATTTCTCGATGCTGCGTTTCGAGCACGTTCGCCTTTTGAGCTGCTTCTTTAATGGCTTCCAACCATTCAAGTGCCTACAGAAACAAATTTACTAAACATCACACGACAGGCAATGCCCAAACCATTTCTCGCGATTGCACCGCCACATCCAAAGGAGCGCAAGCTGTCGACGTCACAATGCGCAATTCCCATTCCAAGCTGGGCCGCGAAGGGCAGTGATGCATATCGGCAAACGCGCCGTTCATATCTAAACAGCCCTGAAGCATCGACTCATCCGACTAAGAAATATAGTTATTATCCTAAGAAACTAACATTTTCGAGGATAATACCCCATCCTCGCCACTTTCGTGATGATCGCTTCGATCGATTTCTTCAACGTAATTCGCGGGGAAAAATAGTTGCTTTTTTCCACCATAATCACCTTTCCACCATCCCTCGGAAGGATCCGGTTTTGTGACGTTAGTGATTATGGCGTGCTTGCAAAAGGATAGCTCGTCTGGTTGCTGTGCCTTGTAATCGTAAATGGCTTTCACGGTAATCTAGGATTAGATTTACAAAATTGCATCATTTCTAGTTAATACGATAGTTTTGACGGTAACTAATTTGCATTTGAATTTTTTCATTTTTTGCAGAAAAAAGTAAAGTAGAAATGTCGCATGCGTCATTTCGAGCTATTCATTTTGTATGGGATTTTGTTCTTTAATCACGTTTGAAGTTTGTGGATATAAGGATTACATTTCAGAGTTCAGCGCAATAAAAAAAAACCACGAGTTTGGGAACTGCAGCTTGAGTTGCGTGGGATTGATTTTTAAAATCATTTGGGATTGGTAGTAACAAAAAACCTTAACCAATAGACATTTATCGCGATTGACGATAAAAAATGTACACTTTTCGTAGTTCAGACGCGAAATAATCAATATTTTAGGGGGGATACTAATTGGTGGCGTGCTAACTACGAATCTTCAAATTTTTTCCCCAAAACTAATACCCTCTATTCCTTATTAAATTAAAGAACTCCTACCAAATGGCTTCTTATTAACGCGTACGGCCATCTTTAATAGTGAATTTCCGCCCTACGAATTAAATAAAAGCTAAGACACAATTCCCAAATACGACCGCAACATGTACTACGTTGTAGTTTCCACGGTGCTGAAATAACCTCATACCGAATTCGCAGTTGTAATGAACAACCCTAATTAAGATTAATATGATTCAAATCCCCGATATTTCGATTCTAGACATCCGGCGCCCATTATAAAAACAATGCTCTATAAACTTTAAAAGATGCAAAAACGACAATCTTCATTTCCACCGAATGCTCTCTTGTTTATTCTTACAATTCTACTACCACATCCCGAACTCCGAACTTTACCACACAAATTTCTAAAAAAAAACTAGATCCAAAAACTAGAGCTACCGTTACACGGAAGAAAGTATTCCCAACGATGAAAAATCTGGCCGAGACGTGTTGTACAGGGAGAATCAACGATTGCGCGGAGTAACTTAATGACTTTTGGCTTTTGTATTATGATATGATTGAATATTCTCCATATTTTAAAAATATTTGGAATTATACAGGGTGCGCCCACAAAGTAGGGCCCCAAATGGTACATTTTTAAAATAGAACCCTCTGTATTTGAATGCATTTTTGAATTCTACGTGTAATTGTACGTCTTTTTTATTATATGGTCAATATCCGAAAAGCGTCAGTATATATTGTCAAAATTATTATTTAAATTTTGATTCCAGGTTTTATATCTTATCCTGGGTTAAGTAAAAGTCAAATAAATACATCTACTATAAAAATACAGCTTACAGACTGTTTTTTGGTAGGTCTAAAGTTGCAAAACTTCATATTAAAAAATCTCACTTTTTTAAAATGGAACACCCTGTATATTTTTCTGTCATCATTTAGCTCCTCCAAAAACCTTCAACTTTTGATAATAATGTCCTATAGCTATTTCTGATAGTTTTCGAAATAAATGGGTTTTATATAGTTATAATATAACTTGGCGCTTGGAGTCCATCTGCAAAAAAATTACTTCAGAAATTAGTAAAAAAATTTTGAAAAAACAAGAGAAACGTTGTTTTGAATTTTTAAAACAAATAGATTTAGTTTAGCTGTTCAGCAGGGAAATGCGGCTTGTATTTTAGGCACTTTACCGCAACAGACAGCATTTAATGAAATTTTTTATATTTTAAGTATACGGTAAATTTTTTTTTAAATGTTTTTTAAACAATTTTATTTGTAATATTTTAATTTGTAACTTTTTGTTAAATTCATAAATATATTATTTTGATTTAAAAAAAAATTTAGATAATAGTGAGGTGGACATGCAAAAAAAGGCAATTTTTATCTATCTTGTCCAAAAAGAAAATCATATGGATTAATGTATTTTTCAAACAACTTATTTCAAGTCCAAAAACTGGAGAATAAGTAAAAACATTTGACTACAAAGCAAATTTAATTTAACTCCTAACGTCATCCAGTTAGTGATATTAGTTTAATTTTTTTTTTATGTTCATATCATTATTATGTAAATTTGAACTTATTTCAGATTACAATATAAAAAGTAGAAAAACCAAGATATTTGTTTATGTTTTTACTATCAAATTTATTCTCCAGTTTTTGTAGACTTAAATGAATTATTAGAAAAATGAATTAATAAATATGATTTTAGCTTTGAACGAGGCAGATAAAAATTGCCTTTTGTTTGCATGGCCACCTCACTATTATGTAAATTACATATAACTTATTTAAGATTAGAATATAAAAACCAGGAAAACCAATAGGTAGGTAGATAGGTATAGGACATTATTATCAAAAGTTAAAGGTTTTTGGAGGAGCTAAATGATGACAGAAAAATATACAGGGTGTTTCATTTAAAAAAAGTGCGATTTTTTAATATGAACTTTTGTAACTTTGGATCTAAAGAAACACCCTGTAAGCTATATTTTTAATGTTTATGTGGAGAATATTCAACCATATCATAATACAAAAGCACTCTATCGAAAAATAGAAACATACCGTTTTTTATATTTTTCTAAATGCGTTCTTTTATTTTGAATTCAACGCAATTAAGATTTAAGTACATATCTGTCATAGTTTTCGACATTTATGTCCATTTTTCTCTAAAAATGCAAGGGTCCATTCTAAAATTCGTGCTCTTTTTTTACAATCGAATCCTTAAAGTCTACGGAATTCTTTGAGTAAACGGTTTAATAGAGAAAAAGACATATGTGGTTACTAAGATAATATTGTTTGACATTTGATCCGAATGACATTTCAAATGAAATTAATGATTGCTTCCAAAGCTTACCACATCTAATGAATAAATAGGAATATTTCTTTCAAAAAATGACAATATTTTAAAAACTATGGTGGGTATAGGCATACAGAATGTTAATAAAAGTGGCCATTTGACATTTTTTTTATTGGTAATTTTGAAAAATCGTAGCTGCTCTGGAAACTTTTTTTTAAGACTTTTACGGTCACTCAAAAAAATTCCTTGGAGTTTTAAGGATTCAGAGCAAGAGATTTTGAGAGAATTTTTGAATGGCCCTTGCATCTCTCAAAAATTGACATATGTCAAAAACTATAACAGATACGCAAGCAAATCTTAAATAGGTGCGTTGAATTCAGAATACAATGGAGCATTTATGAAAAAATACAAAATGGTATGTTTCTTTAAAAAAAACTTCTGCTATTTACGGAAGCGGCGCCATCTTGAGATTATTTTATTTCAATTCGCAATGGTCGAGTATGGCTGTGAATCAAAATTTAAGTTTATATTTCAACTGCAAGTTTAAAAACTTCTAACGAACGGGCTACATGAATCATCCTGTATAAAGACAGAAAGATCAACAACACGTTGCTCGTTTTTCGCACTTTTATTGAAATGCGCTAAAAAATATTCAGCGTGATGCATTCTTAAAATTTTGAAGTTCGCGATACACTTTCGAGCAAAAATTCACGCTTTGGGACAATTGTTTGCGCCCCCCGTTCCTTCCGTAGTAATAAGGTGCGATCGGCAGTGGTGAGAAAATCAGCTGCAAATTTTGAATGTTAACTTACCTTGGGAGACGAGAACGATGTAGGATCCATATACGCCGGAGTTCCATTATAATTATTAGCATCTTCATTTTCCTGCACAAAAAACATTAACTTTAAGTGGAGAGTAGGAAAACTGACAATAGTGTTAACATTCTAATTCTGATTAGTTACAGATAAGTACGCATTAAGAAAAAGGTTTACGACCGTTGCGTTTAAAATTCTTGATTTCATCAGTAGAAAATGGATCCCGTTGTATCAAAAGAAAAAAAAAATCGATGCCTCCCTCAACGATCGGGATTTAGTGCAACAATGTCATTAGTATCAAAATTACTTTCCTAATGGAACATTATGCACCCTTCGCTTAATAGATGGTTGGATGATGTTTCTCGAAGCGAAGAGGGGAAAGAATTAAATAGACCTGCATACCAATCTAGGGTGAAAAAACTGTAAAGGGAGTCACAGACACTGATTTTTAAATCTATTGTGGGAATGTCTAGTTCGGAACAGGTTTTACAGTACATTTTTAAAGGGCAGAGTAACAAGTGACTTTAGTTGTTCAGGTGCATTTTAAAGAACAAGAACCGATTCAGTGTTATAAAGACAATGACTCGCAAAATTTTTATTTTGGTAAGTTTCTGCAGTAAAATTACGAATTTTGAACTGAAGCGTGTAGCAATTTTATTGGGATGTTTTGGTATTTGCACAAAAATTTGGTATCGCGGTTAAAAATTCATAAGTTAGGTACCAAATGTTACTAATTCGAATTTAATTTCGCGTAAAGCCGTGCGCTCTCTAAATTATGCGATACGATCGTTAATTTTGATCATAATTCACCATTGATCTAATTTTAGTCAAAACAAACATTAAACTGTGCCGTTTTTAAAATATTGATTAAATTATTCTAGTCACTGTACGATTTTATTCAAACCACAAGTGCTCTACATGCAAAATGTTCACTTGAGTAAAAGATAAGCTAAATTAAGCTTTTGGGTTCATACCCCAAATATAAAGTCCCACTTTTCTTGTACGCGAGTACATTTGTACATCGCCTTCGACCAAATTCGATATTTTCAACATGAGAATCACAAATTCAAAACGAGTTTTTGAAAATAAAACAAGAATCGATAGAATTTCACGAATTTTGCGGTATACCTTCTCTAATTTAAGGTCTCATCGAAAGGATTTAGGTTCTACAAACTATAGCTCTCCTTCGCGACTCCTTTTCCAGATCAATGGATAAACGGGGGGAGGGGGTGATAGAGATTGGTTTTATCTTTCATGGTACTCTAATGAAAGTTCAAATGATTTATAACATTTTTTTAAATGCTTTTGAATCAATATTGGTTTTTTGTTATATTTTGAAGAGAGAATATAAAGTGCTATAGAGATTAAAATATACAGGGCGTTCCATTTAAAAAATGAGGCTAGTTCCCATAACTTTTTTTATCTTCCCCCGTATACTTAGTTTCGAAACGGCAGATTATTAAACAATCATTAGTGACACACCTTTGTAATAAACATTTTTTTTTATCTAACAAGGAAAATACACTTAATACAGTAAGTATGTAATTTTTTACGGGCCATATAAAAAAATAAAGTTGATGATAAATTCTCCTAAACGAAACGTTGTATAAAAAATCACTCAAGGCTGTCTTGTGTAGCTCAAAAAGTGTAACAACAAAATCGGCAAATTTCGGTTTTTCTGGCATATCTTCAGAAGTAATCGAAGGTTCTCTTTTTTTGCAGCATAATAATACGAGTTTAATTGCACAACTTTTCCTTATTTAACCATAGTCGTATCTTCTATGGTTTCCGAATTCTCCATGATAGACATCCTTATCTTGGACATAGTGTAGAAGCACCTCTACCTAGGTTTTCCATGTTTATGGCCACTTTTCCCGTCGGTCCGAGGTCTTAGACTCCTTCAGTTTTCAAGATATTTAGTTTGTTCTTTTTGAATTCTGTGAACTTTCTTATTTATGAAGATATGGTTTTGAAATTTTAGATTCTTCTAGTAAAGACAGACATATCGCAGACTTCAAACATCGAGTGGGTGCATGCGCAGCTCGCAAAATACTAAATTTCTTATTGATAAGAATATTTATAACCTTTCGGGAAATACTGACCAATTCATGGAAAATGCACTATAGTTACTCGCCTTGGGCCGAAAACCTTTTTTCATTTTTAATGTTTGTCTACTCCTAAGTACTGGCCTAAAAAATTTTTAATGAAATTTTTTTGTCCGCGTGCAGCGTCTACTCTTTTCGTTCTCTAGTTAGACAAGGAGCAGACGGACAGGCAAAACCATCACATAAGGGGCATTTTTTCTTTCAAAAAATTCACTGAAAAACGGTTTTTACATATATCATAGGCGTCCTGTGCTCTTTTTAGTTCAAACTGTAAATAGTAATATCAAAAAATTCGCAATTTCAGAATAGTCATATATTTTCTCAGTTAAAAGAGATACAGAAAAATGTTTATTAGAAAAGTTTCTGTATAATGATTATTGAATAATCTGTTATTTTCAAAAAAGGATACTGCGCGGTGTCAGGTAAATAATTTCATTTTTTTAATGGAGCACCCTGTATATTTTAATCTAGAAAGATAACAGTAAATTCTCTTTTCAGAAATATAACACACCAGGCATGATATTCAAAAAGACAAAAAAAATTATTTAAAAAGATCAAATGATTACAATTTTTATGGAATTTTTAAATTTTTTTAAATCTTTTGAATCAATATTAAATTTTTTAATTTTTTGGTATTATATTTTTGAATAGAGAATTGATATGCTATGTTTTTAAATTAAAATATAATCGATGTTTCATTTGAAAAAATGAAGTAATTAACTTATTTACCTTTTTTTTCTAAAAAAAAAGAAGATTCAATAAGATTAAAAAAATATTTAAAAAAATAGTTCAAACGATTAAAACTCCTTTTTGAATTTTTAATTTCTTTAAATCCTTTTTGATTTTTTTAGTGTTATATTTTTGAAAAGTGAATCAATATGCTATGTTTTTAGATTAAAATATACGGGGTGTTCCATTTAAAAAATCAGATTAGGTCCAATAACTGTTTTACCTTATTTTCAAGAGCACTTAATGGTCGCAAACAGTCTCCATGAGCTTGCAAGTACCTCAAACAAACTGTGTCCTTTATTTGACAGGCCAGTTCTTGTTAAGTTTTTAAAATGGATAATTTTTCCAAAATTAATTTTTAGCGCATTTTTTAAGAATTAAAAAAATACGCTATTGTTTGCGTTTTGTCCGTCCGTCTGGATCCACTTCTGCCGTGTTAAAACTAGCTCAATAAAAAAAATAATTTACCTTACATTATTAGTTTCAAAGCGATGAAAACTCTTTGTAATTGTTCTTTTTTGCCTAAAAAAGGCAATTCCACTCAATCTCCATTAACACAGGAAATCACTGCTGAATCTGGTCGTTAACTTTACTAAATGGCTGCCTATATTAAATAAAGGAATAAATAAATTATTCCTTATTCTACGTACAACAAAATACTAGTTCGCTTCCCATGACGTGGGGTAATGAATTAATAATAATAATAAAAATGAATAGCAATTCTATGGATTCGATTGCGTAATAAAAAGATCATGTTGAAAATTTAATAATCTTACTCCTAAGGCGCTGACACAATTTTGTACTTAAATGGGAGAAGCATCAAAAACTGAAAATTTAATACGATAAATATCCAAATAGATCAATAAATAACTTCCCCAGTTTAGTTCTTATTAAAATACACATAAAATAGAGAACTTATTCTGCTAAAATTTACCATGACTTTAGAGTTCCTTCTTTTTAAAATTACCTACATACTTACGAGCGATTGCGCAGTACAATTTTCATCTATGAATTACTATTATTTTGGAATTTAAACGCAATTCGTAATTGTTATTTATTTTTAGATATTTATCACTACACTGCCCACTGTATGGACAACATCGGTCACCCCAGAAAAATTTTTAATCAATGTGGGTGATATTGGAAAAGTCAATGAGAATAGAAATGAGAACAAAACAATACAAAAATTAGTTCAGGATCAGACCGATATAATAAAAAAAATTATATCGAGCGAGAAAGACAAAATAAGCGATCCCAACACGCGAATTCAACATGAAACCGTCGAAGATCTACACAAAAAATGTGAACAACTAAAAGAAAAGGAAAAAAGTGAACCAAAAACACACAACCACGACAGATCAACAACTGAAACGCCAAATCAGCAACGACCATTTAATTACTTCTACATAACACGAAATGCTTCGCAGCCTGTAAATAGCCAACTGTTTCCTTACCAGTACAGCAGCAGTCACAAAAACAATTTGGAGTTGAACACAAATTCCGTGAATGTATTCACGAGCAGGACCGGTAACCCCCCGCCTGCGCAGCTTCATAATGGTCAAGCTTTCCCATCGCCCGACATCAAATACGTGCAACTAGAACCTGTGATGTTGCAGAAAATGGTTTTAAATGACGGACAAGAATTACTCTATTGGTACAGAAGTCCGGATTTAAACTCTCAATATCTCCCACAAGTACCCGAAACGACGACAAGTGCGCCACCTACCTCGACGCCATTGCCTACGCAGAAAATCACACCCCATTACGAAATCCAATACAGCTCTGCGCAAAAGGAGAGCCCGGCGAAGCAACAAATGAAGTTCGTCATTCCCATACAGTACCCGACAGATGGCGTCGAAATTTTAAAGCGTTACCCTTGGGAATTCGATCCGTACGCCTACTATCCGAAACCACTTCAACCGTTGACCGTAAGGGTGCCGGTACCGTACGTGCCGATGTTTCACATGATCAGAACCCTAACCATTCCGGGAAATGTAAACAAATCGTAGTTAGTATCATGTAATTGTAACAGTTGTTCCTAACTCTCTACCTCAGCACATTAAATGTATGTTCAGTAGATTTAAGTCCCTCACTAACTCTTCAATGATTAAAAATCATTTTAATCGGCACATAATGTAACCAATTGCACTAATACACTCTAGTTCTAAGTGAATCTTTGTATATAATTTTCGTATGATTAGGTAAAACGAGCAAACCTTGGCGGGTTGTAGGGGTCGGTTTAGTGCAATTATTTATATGAGTACGTTTAAGCTGTTATAAACAATTCATGTATTCATTTCGTATTATTATTATAATTTTTAATTGAAATAAATGTTTAGTTGAAAAATGAATACCTTAGGTTGAATTACACACATTGACTTTTCGCCGGGCGCCGCAAACGGTAGGTGCCCTCCTCAAACATGCCGGGGACAGGACGGAACTATGAGTAATAGAAAAAATGGACCTTGATGTATGTTTTTGAGTTATGGACAAAAGTGTATTTTTCAATTTTAGATACAAGCCTAGAACTTCTTTGTTTATTAAGTTATGGCAAATGTGTTTATTCCCAAACTTTCTTTGTAATGAGTGATGCATCATCTGATGTTTTCAAAATATTAAATAATATGGAATCAAGTAAAAAACCTATCGGACCTAACGTATGGAACACCCTGTATATTTTAATCTAAACAGACAACATTAAATTCTTTTTTCGAAAATATAACACACCAAAGATGATATTAAAAATATTTTTAAAAAAATAAAAAATACAAAAAAATTCATATTTCAAAAAATCTTTTTTGAATCAATATTAAGTACTTTGAATTTTTTAATGTTATATTTTTTAAACAAGAATCTAGCATGCTATCTTTTTAGATTAAAATATATAGGGTGTCCTGTTTAAAAAAATTAGATTAGGTCCGATAATTTTTTACATGACCTTGTATACTTATTTTGAAAACGATAATAAACAATTTCCGGATTGTGGTGGGGTGGGGAGAGGGGGAGTTAAAACCTGGTTTTATCATTCATGATAATGAACGGTAATCTCAAAGAAAAAAATCGAACTTCTACCCACTACTGCCTTCTTTCTTTGCCATTTATCGAGATGAGTGATAATTCCTCATATCTTAAGAACGGATATCAAGAGGAGAAACGAAAATCTCGACATTGACTTAAATTTAATTATGAATGAGAAACTCAGCCGCCTTGACCGCTTCCTCACAATTCCAAAGAATTATATAACAAGTTTTTATTTAAACACCTAACATAATCCCGGGTATGAACAGAAAATTAATCTTTAGAACTCTTACATCCTGGGTCGTAATTTGGGTTCGATAAAACACAGTTGATCATTGACAAACAAAATTAATTTATTCGACATACACAAAGAACTAATACTGCTGAAAATAAAGAAAGGTGCTCAAGGTCCACAAACAATATACTACGCACATGCGATCGATGGACACAAATCATTTAAAAAGAAATTTTAAATACCTTAAAGAGTAAATGATCCTAATATCCGGTCCTGCTATTAGTCGTATTACCCACCCTCCAGGAAGCGCACATGGGTAAGCAGTTAAAGGCATTTTTCGATATCTGATGAAGCTGTAGATTACAAATTGACATTTGCGAGATGCAAATTTGATTAGATACTGCAATGTCGATTATGCAAGTTATGAAGGAAATAAAATTACGGAACCCAAAGCAACAATATTCAAATTAATTAATATGGCAGTCAGATCTTTATCTGTTTTAAGCAGTTATTTTGGATACATAAATTTAGAAGGGATTTTGTCATATAAAAGTAGACAAAATGAAAAACAATACACGTAAATCCCTATGTCTACTTCTTAATAAATAGCACTATATACATTGTAACAGTTTATTTTCGTAAGTACGTATTAGTTATTTTTGGTTTACGGTCACGGTAATTAATTGTTTGAGATTCGCTGGCATACCTAAATTATGACACCACATGTCGGTGGAATTTTCCACGCAAAGCATGTTCTTTGTTTTTCAATGTCCTTATTCGCATTCGAGTACAAGTGCGCCTTAGTTCGACACGTTAAGCAAGTAGGGCGAAAGCCATGAGGTTCGAATTGCAATTTCCACTATAATGATTTCTGGCGATTGAACCTATGTTTTGTGGATTCCAATTTAGTTGTGAGGGACGAGTTTATACATTTTCTGGGAGGTCATATTTAACAAACTTTTATTAGGTACGGTACATATAACGAAAAACCTTTTATAATGAACATGTAATTTTGTCTCGCCGTGTTCATAGTAACCGAATTCTGTATTTGGATTCATCATTTTCTGAGGATCCCTCAGATTTTCAAATTTCTTTGAATTCTTTGTTTGTTCAAGTCTTCTGATTTTGGAAATGCTTCAAATTTATCAGATTCTTTTGATTTTCAGAATTTTTCCTCAAATTCTTAAAATCCTCAAATCATTCCGACTCCTAAAATTGTTCAAACCTTTAATTCTTCACCTTTAGAATATTTCGAATGTTTCTAATTCTTCGAAAATTGCTCATATCCTTTGTATTCCTACAACTCTATACTTTCTTCCTCACTTTCAGAAAAGAATAATATTTCCTACACTGTCTACGCCATATCCAGTTTCGCAGCATGAAAGAGAGAAAACTATTCCTCTTACCACAAAAAGTACGTGCAGTTGCAGAAATGTGGCGAACATATTTGTCCCTAAAAAATTACAGTGAAATATAGATGGCGCCACTTTTTATTACAGTCAGAATTTGTTCGTATTACATCCACAACTTATAGGCGGAGCAGCAGTAGCGCGCTTTTCAGGTCGTTGTGCAAGTCTTTTAAACTCTTTAACTCTTATCTGCGGATGTGCTTTCTTTACCGAATCAGCATTTAACAGGTAGCTTGAGTGACATAAACATCTAGGTTGAATCACCTCAGATATATAATTGTATGTTTTTCACAACTCGTATAAATCCATTTAGATCTTTACATATGCAGATTATTCACTTAAAAATCGTCTCGTAAATCACCAATGATTCAAATCACTGCTTTGCTTATCGGACAATACGTCCACAAGGACATGTTAGTGAACGATTGTGTTTTCCTCTAATTTTTGGAAGAGAGAAAGTGTTTTTATGCCATAAATTATTACAGTGCAGTTGGTTTTAAAGGGACAATATTGTTATTGTATTAGGGCATTGATTGAGTTTTCAGTTTTACCCTCGGTTTTGCCATTGAATAAATAGTGTTTTTAGTCAATGGTTTTACTTAGGCGTTGCTTTCCTTTCCATGCACAGCACTGTGCTCGATTAAATTGACAGTAAGTATCCCTGGTTCTATTAGTGACTCCTAGATTTCAAACATTCCATTGAAAGTGATGAGGGCGAAGTGCACTGATGTTCCATTATTCAGTTAATTCAGTGTAGATCTGTAGCGATAGGTGTCCAAACTGCACATATATGCCTACTGTGATCGAACTAGGCAGTAAAACAGAATTACTGACAAAAGGATTAGTTATTTCTTTGGTTTTGATTTATGATTATGCATGTCGATATTCATAGTAGCACAGATCTGTGATGGCAGTAACTAGCAGTGGCGTAGCGTACCACATTTGCCGCCCTATATACATATTTTAGGAGCTGGTGAACATTTTGAGTTCCCTATAGTTTATTAAAAAAAACACACACACTACAATAAAGACAGACAGACAGAAAACAGCGTATTTTTCAATTGTTTTGTAATGCTGTAAAAAAGATTTACCCAACACTGCTCCTGAAGTCGAACCTAGAAACGCAAGAATCAAGGAAGATAATGATATTTGAATTGCTTGATAGACATTGCATTTAAAAGATTGGAGTATCTTCGTTGTGTATTTTCGCCTCAGTTTTTGTCAGATAAAGCCTCTTCAAGTCCGTCGATGGTCATCGTCGTTGCTTACAAAATCAAAATTTAAATGTCACACGATTTTTGTATGGTCTCCTACATTAGCTATTTTCAAAAGCGCCCGGAATATTATTATTGGCAGGCATGACCGTGCCGCCTCTACTAAAGTGACACCCGCGGTGAACCGCCCCTCCCCCAACGCTACGCCACTGGTGATTAGGGAAACATACAATCTCGCGTTAGTGGAAGGATCCAAAACGTGTTCTTAAGGTTTGTTGATCATCTGTTACACGTTAACAAGACCTTTTGTCGGAATAAATCACAGTTAGTGATACTTGACATTTGACGAGCGACAAAAAGCAAGTTCATGATTTTCTGTCGTCTCTCGGTCCGCCCATCCGTCCGTCTGTGTACATGGTAACTCGCGTGCACAGAATTATAGAACATACACTTGAAATCAAGCGTTTGTGCCCTGTGGCCCTAAGTGGCAAGTTTTTTTTATCGATTTCGCACACTTGAAAGATGCTATAGTGTTTTACCATATGTATGAAATTGATTGATAAATCAATGACGCAGAGTCACAGAGCCCCGATTTCAAGAGTAGGTATGTAATTTAAAAAAATAGCACAAACGTTGGGTTTTTCATGTTCACTTATTTTTATGGCATGCTTGTTTATTATATACAGGGTGAGTTTTTTTTCATTTTAAGCATTGGGATTTCGGAAACCATAAGACAGAGATTCGCTTAAATGAGGAAGAGTTGTCGTTTTAAGAGTTTATTCAAGATATGCTTTTATTTTTTGAAAAAAATCCACAGTTTACTAGATATGAGCGAAAAATAGATTATGTGATTTTTCTTTTAAATGTTGTAGAATCGTTAGTATTAGAAATACGACAAAATGACACGAATAAAAGTTTTAGACATTTTAATGCTTAATATCATAAACATACTATTTTCCTTCTATATTTTACGATTTTTGAGTTACGACACAAACTTTAATTTTTTTAATGGTAGTCATAGTTGGCTTTGACATTTTTGAAAAGGAAAAATTTTTCTCTTTATAGTGATATAAGGCTTGCTAAACGTACGTTAATAAATAAACGCACTGCAGGAATTTTCGTATTATTGAGAGGTAAATAAAAACAGTTTGCCATGGAAAACAATATCAAGTGAGATAGGTAATAATGTAACTGTGGCACATTTAACATATTTAAAGGCCATCTTCGAAAATGTACTATTAAAGTTAAATTAATAATCATATTCAGTGCATTATTCAAAGTAAATCGTATCATGCCATGGAAAACAATAATTTTTAAAAATGTCACAAGCAACCATGGTTGCCATTTAAAAAAATTTAAGTTTGCGTTATAATTCGAAAATTATAAAAGAAGAATGGAAATTATTAAAAAGATCTTATTACGCGAAAAAAGATCTACAATTTTTTGTTATTATTATTATTATTATTATCCCTCTCTTGTTTTGGGCCCTCAACAGGCATGCGCCCAATTACAGAGTGACCCGCATAATGCTATTTAGAGGTGCCTCTGCAGAAGGTGTTCTTTGCATATTATTGTATTTCTAATACTAACGATTCAACAACATTTAAAAGAAAAATCATCATCAATTTATTTTTCGCTCATATCTACTGTCTAGTGTCTAGTAAACTGTGAATTTTTTTCAAAAAACAAAAGCATATCTTGACTAAGCTCTTAAAACGACAACTCTTTCCTCATTTAACCGAATCTCTATGTCTTACGGATTCAGAAATGTTCAGAATGTTTAAAATGAAACAAAAACTCACCCTGTATAAAATTCGTTTTTGGGCACATTTGTCCAATATTTTAAAAACAACTTTATATCGCTGAATAGCTAAAATACTCCATTTAACAACCATAATATAAAATACTGCCTCCATTAAAAAATAGTTGTAGTGGTATCAAAATTATTTCTACCCCACTGATTTCTACGTGTAAATGTATAGAATTTTTTCCTTTACAATTTTTTTTCTCATAATGAAACCCCATCCTAACGCTGTGCCGCTACCCTGTATAGTTAGCATGGTACGCTAATATCTTCATTTCAAATAATAAGTGGAATTCACGAGATCGGCAACATGATACCTTACCTCGTATAAGTTTTCCTGACCCACCTTATTATCAAGGTTGGCTAAATATATCGAATGCATATATAATATCATGTCGGTGACAAAATCTTATATCTTATATCTTTTCCATAAGGTTAGGCTTCTTAACTTTTTATTCAATGCAATTTAAATAATAGTATTTCATGGCGCGTCCGTTGTGTCCGACGAGTCCACCCGCCTCAGTGAATTGACTAGCATTTTCTATTTGTTAACAGAGCCACACTTAGGTACTCCATCTAACGTACATAGTAATAATTCAAAAAATAAGACGGCGTTAACAGATGAGATGACATTTAATCTGTACATGTACAAGAAACTACTATGAAATTTTGTTCTATCGTTTAAAAAATCGCGGACGTCAATGCGAAAGCACATTATAAGTGCTTATTATTCTCAGACTGTTCAAGGTCGCGTTATTTTTGTGGAAAGTTGAATTAGTTACATGTTCTGCGCGCGATCCTTGCATTGTACTTCATTTTACCCAATAAAAATTGCAAAAACTCTTGTTCTAATTTACAACTTAAAATTAGAAAATGATTCACTTACCAGACCAATCCTTCTCACGATCTCTTCTGTGACGGGATAGCACAGTTTGACCTTATGATACAAGGGGTGATGCTCGTAGTAACTAATCAGCTCGACGAGACTTTCGAATTCGACGTTCCCTATGGTGTAGAGGCGACCCTCCAATTTTATTCGACAATGTTTGATTTTTTTATCCGCTCTGAAAGAAATCAAGCGTGCACTTATCGTCCCTGTCTAAACTCATTAAAGGTGGGTTCATAGCTCTCCGTTTATTCGTTTCCGTTTGTCCGTTAGCCAATCAGAACACAGTAAATTTTTAAACCGTACGTCGTCCATTTACAACGGGAAAGTTTGTTGAAGTTTAACATTTACGTTTCCGTTGGTCCGTTTTTTAACAAGAGTAAGGTTATGTTTGTTATATTGTTGACGTTTAAGAGCAAATTTAACAGTGTTCGCCTATTACGTTCTTCGCGGTGATAATCGGATAGTAGTTTCTACGTACTGAAGATCACGATGGGTACAGTACAAAATAAAATTTAGGTTATGGTTATACCTTGTAAACGTACGATATGGACGGATTGCTATGAACCTTAACAAATTGCACTATCCGTTTGACGGATCAACGCAACGGATAAACGGAGAGGTATGAACCCACCTTAACTTACAATTTTATTTGCAATATGTTAATGTTGTAACCTTTTGTTAAATTCATAAATATAAACTAGATCAGAATAATAAAGGTATTTGATACTTACCTAAAACTAATAGTGTAGGAATTGGCACCGTTTTCGCTCGGTCTAACCAGAAACGCCCCCTCCATTCTGATCCTCTTCAGCATTTCTTCGCTTTGAACCCGACTGGTGTTCTTGTGATACCACTCCTTCCCTTCGTGTTTATTTGGTTGCGGGACGGGTTCTTGAAGAGTAATTGAAAATTCCGCCGTAACTAAGGGATGCGTGCGATAATGCGTAATTAAACTGTATAAGCTATCAAAATACTTGGTGTCTGTTAAATAATATTTCGTTTGCTGTTTATCTTGCTTAGACTTAATTCTACAGTGGTTAACAGAACCGTTTCGCCAGAACGACAGACAGTATTCGCCGACGAATGTTACGCTAGTACGAACTAAAAACGTCCCGTCCCCCAAGTGCGAGTAAGTTTCCAGTAGGTGTTCGGCTTCCTCGCGACCCTTCGGAAGTCTGCCGTGGAACCACTTTTCACTAAAGTGCAATTCTTCATTGGGTACGTCACTTTTCGGCCGGTGAGATGTGATCGGGTCATCTTCGTCCTCTGACCTCTCTGAATCCTACAAGTAGCATTGAAACATTTGCTATACATACGAAGTCACGGTACCTGGTCAGGTCTATAACTATCCGTGTAGAATAATTTATTTTGGGTCAACACAAAGAAATGCGGACTCCACTCGTGGTCGACAGCATCTTCTATGTACATGATACCATTTTTGATGGAATTTCGAAGGTCCATCTCATTCGAATCGTTCCGTATAATAAAAGAGCTCTCGTCCTGACCTTCTGGTAACTTTTTGTGTTTCAAAATTATACGTCGCCTCAATTGGAAGGGCGATGGAAGCTGCTTTTCATTTTTTTCCATCGGATGCGTCAGCAACATATCTCCAAAAACTTCCTGCGAAAATAGCCCACATTTTTAAGGCCGAAAGTAAAAATGGTAAGCATACTTGCATAGCGGTAGCCATTTTCCTTTGTTGGGGCAGAGAGCAGTTGTCCTCGATCGATAATATTACCGGATACTCGGAGGTGGAAAATGCGTGCTCCTTAATTGTACGTATAACGTCGAGAAACTTAATTTTCGTCGTCAAAGTATGACCGTGGTAAATAAAGGGCATACCGTCGGGACCATCCCAACAGTCCAACTCTATACATCGACAACCCATTCGAAGGCAACGTACGTAAGCTTCTACGGAAGACTCGCTCGAGAACTGATCGCCCGTTAAATATCTAAAAAAAAACATATTTAGGTACACCGCAAACGACCAAATGGGGAGACTCACGTGTTATGCGACGAGGAGATGTAGTAATGAGCTAACGGTTTCGTCATATCCTGATAGACGATATCCTTCGAGGTATCCCACAAATCGTTTTGTTTAGAAAACAGGAAATCTAGAAACTCCGCCATTGCAAAGTACGGTTCCTGTACGTCTCTTTGTGGGTCCTATTACGAACAATGCTTTTAACTTAATACCAGACAGCAGGTCACTTACCTTCAAAAATTCCCGTATAAATTCGGATACTTTACGCTCGTCGTTTCCTAACTCGTCCAGTTGCTCTTGTATTAGGAAACTCTGAAATTCTTGTAGCGTTACCGTTTTTAAATTTGCAGAGTATAATGTGTATCTATCGAACGTTTCTTGGATATTCTGTAACAATGTTGCTTACGTCAAAAAAACTCATTTTCGCCTTAGACTGGAGAGAATGGGACGAGTTATCGACATGCGTTCGTGACATTCTACACGTGTTTACGTCTACATAACCAAATGCAACAACGATGATTGGTCGGTTTGAAAAAGTAGGCGGCGCTAATGAATACCTATAGCGCGTTCGTACCTCCAGATATAGTATGGGGTCTTAGGTACTAATTGCGTCTCTTACGAGTTTGCGTCATTCTTCGATAATACTATCGATACTATCCTTGTTTCTGACCGCATTTATGTCAAGTTGACATATGATTAAATTGAAGTATTAAGGGGCCTATTCTCTAAAGCGTAACGATGTCGTTACACAGCGGTTATCGTTCAGCAACGACTTTCTCCATTCTGTATGAAATATAACATATAACAGTGATACTGAATGTAGCTGTCGGTACCATTACGATATCGTTTGTTAAAGATAATATACAGAATAGACTTCTGACTTGTCAGCGAAAACTCACTTCTTGTCCTTGCTAAACAATATACTAAGTATATTGGGTTTTGCAAATAATAGTGTGCATGCTTGGTAATCGTCAACATTTAACTTGCTGTGATTTCGTGTCCGGGTCAATACCTTTTTTTAGGTACTATTTTGTATGTTTGTGTCAGGTATAACCAAATCGTACTGCGTACTGGGTTTTGGTGCGCTGTTGTGGCAGATATAGTTCCCTACTACGCGGTACAAAGATCGCTATCGAAGTCATACGGGATAAAGGTAAGATATTTATGCATTTATTTAATTTTTTATTTTGCCTTTATTTTTGAGTGGGCGGGATTTCAGCCAAGGCTGCTCTACCAACCCACCCCACTATACATTTACAAATATCCACGCCCGAACCTGGATTCGAACCAGGGACCCTTAACACCACAGTCCAGCTTTAACTGAACTGTGCCACACGAGCGGGTTTCTGGTTTCATAATGAAGGGGGGATGGGGAGTTGCCTGACTTAATTCGGCGACCCACATAATAGTATTGTTGGTCAAATTTTGATTGCTTGCTTAACTATGATATTGTTGTTAACTGTGATATTTTTGGATTAGGTAGATAACATTTGAACAACTTCGGATTCCACTCTTTCTGGTAAAAGGTCGATTGCTATTTTCCGATACAGGAGTCGAGTTTCGAGAAATCGAACTTGACCATGTCTTGTTAAAGATGATATTATTGACACAAGTACTCAGGGAATGGAAGGCCTCTGGGTCCGAGGGTTAACCACCCCTGCCCACTTAGTTGGATTGAACTCTGAAGGGTTGTGAAATTAACTTGAAAGTGGGAAACAAAATAAAATGTGCGATTTTCACTAAACCAGCACTTGAAAAGCAAGAATGCTAATATAGATTTATAGTGCGCATCGCGCTATGATAAATACATACATACATACTTATTAATAGGATATATATCTATTGTTTTTGCTTGTTGGTTCTGGCTGTAAATAAACAAGGGCTAGTCAGCTGTACGCTTGTGTTTTGATTGGCAATATTTGTGCGTGTGTGGTCCCTTTGGGAGTTTGAGAGTTGTTGCCAGATTTTTTACTATCTACGGTCCAGCTTCCGTCAGATATAGCAGCGGTGTGAAATCATAGCTGGTAGCGCCCACATTCTTTTGGTATTTTTCGTTTTACTTAGGTATAGTAGGCTCTGGCCAACGAGGACCCAATTCGGCTCCACTGAGCTAGAGATAAAGGGGTGCGCTGTTGACATATTCTAGGCGAAAGCGACAAGGGAAACGTGAGGTAGGGTGTTTGCGCCAGATATCCTCGCATTTGTCTGCCTCGATTATTAGCCAAGTTGGCGTTGTAAATTTTGGCGCCCAGCGTGGGGCGTAACGCAGTTCCAGTGTCAATTATAGTCCGATAAAGGTCATTCGCTCTAGTCCAGCGCGTAAACGTATTCCAACCGTTTCCTCGCAAGTGATATTAACTCAGTTGTTTCACGGGGAAAGTGAAATTCACCTAACGTTCAGTGACGCACCTCGAAATTGCCGGAGACGCTTACATCGTATCTTGCGCACGAAAAAACTCAAATAAAAATGTTTCAAAACCCACTCGTGGGTTGTTGCCGCGTAACACAACTGTAAATTATGAGTAACTGACAAATATAGACCATAGCAGCTATAAATTAGAGAACACCTGAAGTCTTTAGGTGGCCCAGGGGTTGAGATCTCTACGGAATAGACAGCCAGACGACGGACAATCGAGCACATAAGCGTTACCCCAACTTCGTTATGTTACGCTAATAAGCGGAAAAATTAGCGTGTGCAGGGTTTGGATTTTTTTTTAAATTCTTGTGCCCTAATATCCACTATATCTTCGAGAATTTAACGCAAGTTTTTAATGCGGTCGATGTCAGAGACGCCTAGAATTAATTGATATTGGATCAGATATGAGATGGCATTGATAAATTTTACTGTATCACTCCAAAGCGATCCAGTTTCCAATTTTTCATGGAGGGAGCCTTTTTTTAAAGGCGGGTCGACTATTTACAACCTAAAGAAAACAAGGACTATTCAGCGAAGATTGTAAGTTACTTTAACTTTTTTCAATTGTATTGGTCCGTTATCTTTAAGAATTTGCATTGCAGCATATGTTTATTTAAGGTAATCATAATATCCTTAAAGGAACCCATCTGTGAAAATTAATTGCATGAAACAAATTGCTATTGCATTCAGTCATTACAATTGAATTTTATTTTTTTAATTAGTTGGGGATTTCATTCAAGTGATAATATTTCTTGAATGAATGCAAAGTTTAGTTATACGGTGTGTATAAATATGTTGTGCATGTGTGATGACCCATTATTACTATAGGTGCTGATACCAATAAAAACGTCCACATGTCAGTATACTTTATGTACAGGCCAATTTAGGAGGAATTAAAATTTGGTATAGAATTTAACATTAGATAATAAACATCCTACAGCTGAGTTCAATATAATCTATTTTTAAGATTGTGAACTGTTTGTACAAAATGGTTTGTAGTTATGTTCAAGCGTGGGAGTGACAAAAAGAGTTGCCACTTAGGTACGACTTTAGTACTGGAATTTGAAGTAAAATTTATATTAGCAAAGACTTTAATCTCATTCAATATACATAAATATTTTGATTTTTCTTTATTATCTGCAATCAAGTGGCAAGTGTAATTTTCTTCCAAGTATACAGATTAGGGTCCATTTCCCTTCAAACTATTGTGCTAGATTTGTAACATGCAAAACATTTTGAGTCATAGTGGTAAAACTAGCCCCCTGGTGGAGAAGGATTCAACTAAATTAACTATATTTTGGTTGATTCTCATTGTACAAGGAATGCTCTTTTCAACCACACCAGTTAAAATCGGTCAAACGGTTAAGAAGTTAAAGCAGGTTATTGCAAAAACAATTGAACGCCCCACACCATCTTTGTTTTTGAAATAACTGAGTTTTTGTTTTTAAGAAAATTATAGAATACACTGGTTCTCTTTAAAAATGTGAAAAAAAATGTTTAGTTCATTATGCGAAATTTAAAGAAAATGCAATTTTAAAATTTAAGATGGCAGTTACGCCATCTGTTGGTCATTTTTAAAACTTGAAAATATTTTCCAGCGATTCTTCATGACCGATTTACCAAATAATTTTTTTTACCCCTAAGTCATATGACGAACGGTTCTCGAGATATGGCTGAGGAACAGTCTTATTGGGTCACCCGGTACACACTGCATTTACGCACGCAAAAAGTTCTGGAATCCTAACTTACATTTTCATCGAAGATGATTTTGTGATACAAAGTGGCAAAATCATCAAATCCGATTTCTCCACGCTTCCTCGTATCGACTTCATTAAAGATTTCTCTCAATCGGTTAGTCGGTATTTTCGAATTTAACCTCGGTAAAAAACCTTTGACTTCCTTCAGGGAAACCCTAAAAATATAATGATCACTAAATTAATTATAAATGCCGGTCCTTACGATTCTCTGGGAGTTTCCATTGAATAAAACTCTCGCCGAAGCCACGTTTGTACTTGCAAAGGATATGGACTGTTGATCGTGTCACGAACGAGATACCTAAGACCTTTCACCCACAATTCGCATTCTTTCTCCGAGAACGCTGTAGAGTCTCGGTTAGGTTGGAGAACCAATGGGTTTTATACGTACCAGTGATGCTTAGAACCCTAAGTTTAAATTCAGATCCGTAAAAAACGACGAAACATTTGGCGTTGTCGATTTTTTTAGAATCTTCAGGCCACTTATCGAAATCCTTAGAATTCTTTCCTATGCGTATCTCCTTAATTTCTCTTAAATCTACGAACCCGTCAAAAGAGGGTTTCACGCCCGAGACCGTCTTACTCCAGACGACTTGCCTGGTTTCTCTACGTATAGCCAAAGTTTTACGTTCCGCTTTTCTCCGCCAAGAGAACTTTGTGACTAGTGTTCCCCTTTCCAGCTGGCTAATGATCTGTTCCATTTCCGGTATATAACCGGAGCCGGAAGGTGAGGAGAAGGCTCCATTAAATAAACCAAACATTTTAAAGAGGTCTGCAACACAAAGATTTATCAACTGCTGATAAACCGGATATTTTAATCTAGCATTGTAGAGACCAAATGATTCCCTTCAAAGTGAAAAGCATTTATTTAATTTTGAGTATTTTTAGAAGCATAGGAAAAATGGAATAATCTCCAGAAAAACCTAACAGTAACACGCTCTACACTTGTATAATCACTGGAGCCTTATTACATTTACAAAAAGGAAATCCTAATTATTTATTTGCAAATAATACAGTAGAATAATGTGAAATGTGGTGCCCCAAATTGAAATACTCACATTTCTGTATTGCAGTCCAGCCTTGTAACAAAATGATATGAAGATGATAACATTTTTTGAAAGCACAATTACCGCTATTTCAAAAAAAATTAAATGTTATAAACACTTAAATTAACCAATGTGTTTTGGCAAACATTTTTGGCTGTCTACAGCTGAAATTGACAACACAGACACAGGTTTTTGACCGTGATTAAAGTAAGAAAACACCACTTTGTTGTGTGAGAAATTTCAGTGGATCCATTGCAGACAGGGGCGTAACTTCGCGTCGTTGAGGGCGCGCGGTCTGGGTTTTTCCAGTGCCAATTTTTCATTAAAACTATTCCCAAAATGAATATTATGTTCAACAGCGATAGTAATTTTTGAGCACTTTTAAACAATAAATGAGTGTACCTAATCCCTAGTTTGTACGCTAACTTCACACTACAGTAACACGAAAATAAAACAACCGGCAACGTTTGAAATGACCAAAGGAACAGCTATTCCCTCCAAAATCTAAAGCGCGGTTTAGACGCTACGATCTTGGCTTCCATAAATCGTAACGATCTGATTGTCCAATTTATCGTTCAATAAATCGAAAGAGTGCGTACTGTTTACATGTAATGTAACGATTTCTTGTTCCAATCTCATTGTCGATCACGGTTTAATACAGTTTTTATTTTTTTACTTTTCAACTTGTCTTTTGGTTCTAATATAAATTACACTCGCATTTTATTGCTTACATTGCTTGCTTACAATAGACTCTTAATCTCGATTATGATTTATGAGTAGCCATGTGTCGCTAAATATTTTTTTTGGGTGCGCTAGAGACAGTCTATAAGTAGCCCAAATGGATACAAAAATGGTTCACGTTGGCAACATTAATCACAAATCGTAGCGATAAATCGGTGTTATTGTTTACACGTTCCAATTTATCGCTACGATTCGCAGAAATTGAAGCCGGCCGCCATCAACCATCCAATCCAATTCCAATTCCGATAAATCGCTACAATCCCTGTTCACACGCAACGATAAATCGTAACGATTCGATCGTTACGATAAATTGTTACAATTTATCGTAGCGTCTAAACCGCGCTTAACGCGGATCCCCTGAAATTGGAAATCGAAAAGTGGTACGTGATCAAACATCAGGCAGGGCCACTACCGGCCACCCCCGTACTTAGTTGTAAAGAACGTAAGACCTAAAGTACCGTAAGGAAAGAACACAAAATAAAACACTCAAAAAGTTTGTTTATTAATTATTGTAGATTTTTAGCGCCCCACTGAGTAAAAATAGGTTGGGAAAAACAGCAAAAAAATTAATATTATATTATATAGAAAAATTACTTGTTTGTAATGACATGATGCATAACATAAAATTATAACAACTTAATATTAACAGAGCAACCATCGACATACTCGGACATAAACTTAAACAAAATATTAGCTTCGAAAGGTGGCATATTTTCACAGACTTATTGCAAGAGGTGAAGATAAAACCAATATTCAGTCATTACCTACATGTCAAAGGCATAGACATATTCATATGTCTATGTACTCCACTCATCTAAAAATTCATGACAATGACCCTCAAAAATAGAACAAAACCCATTTATTCAATTTATGACGCGTAAAATTGAATGTAAAAATTCACGGTGACAATACATGATAAAATTGGCATTTTCTTCCAAATTCATGAAAAATACATGTAATTTATGATGGTGTCAGTGACGGATTAAAGGGGGGGGGCGGTGGGGGCCCACCGAGAGGGAGAACAAAATGACACAAAAATGTGTACCTAATTCAGCGGAGTTGGTCAGTAAGTTATTTTGTAGGTTATTCCACCAGTGCTTTTCGAGTTCAAGAATAACTACTCTTCTGCGTTTACCAGTTTCTTTAACAAGGCAATATTTTATTTGTATTTTCACAAAAAATGTACCTTGCTCATTCAATTTTAGTTTGAGTTTCTAATAAATGTTCTTTTAAATAAATCAAACGAAAAAAATTACGAGTAAATAGTAGGTATATTAATTTTGAAATTTTGATGTAATATCAAAAAGGGCTTTAGTAATTGTGTAGTATTGATTCATAATTCCAGAGTTGTATGTTTCATTCCCTGCATTTTGCGATATAATTTTCCCAAATAGGTAATTCCTTGATTTTCTATAAATGACTGTGATCGGCAAAATATTGTTTTTCTTTGAAATATTTGCATTTCCAGTAGTTCAAGCTAATATTTCTTTACATATAAATTGTCGGTCCAGAACCACTAAATCCTATACTTTTTAAGGTATTTTTTTCAAAATCAAATCAAATCAAAAGGACCCCCGGACCCCCCTTGTCTTTCCCCTCCCGTTCCGGGATTCCGCCCCCACCCACGTCCTTGGATGGTGTACTGCGGCTTTTATTCATGAAATGCATTCTGTTAGCAATCTGTGCCTTTCTATGGCTATGCCTTTATATTATTTATTAAGTATTTATTTCATTACCAAATGCTTCATTGTGTAGTTCATTTTCCTTAGCGTTCTCCATTTTAAATGTGTGACACTCATAATCACTTCGCATCACAAAACTTACCGGGCATCCTGTACAGTCTTCCGAAAAAAAAAGGTTGGATGGGTTGGATAGATGGCGCTGAATCTGTTTCGATCTCCAAAGTTACAAACCAGTTTTTGAGAGCACCGCATGTGGCACTGGCAAATGAATATGGAAAAATTTTGGCTGATGCAATATTGAATTTAGTACAATTTCGTAAATATTCTTGCTATACTAATTTTTTTGCTACAGTTTAAAAATAATCACTTAAAAAATGGCAGAAGAAGATGCGGTAAGTATAGGTTATAATTACCTTTAATTAAGCACCTCCCCTGGTCATCCAGTCTTTTCGAATTAATACATAATTTGCATTGTACAGATGTTCGATCCTACTCTCATAAAGAAAAAGAAGAAGAAGAAGACTGCTTTTGATATCGATGCGGCTTTAGCAGAAGGCTCTGGGGATGCCATCGAAAATGTAAACAACTCAATCTCCAATAATGTGGCAGACGATAACAAAGAGGAAGATATTGACGATAATGTTGATATCGACTTAGATTTTAGTAAAAAAAAGAAAAAGAAGAAGAAACCGTTCAATATGGAAGAATTAGAAAGTACTCTCCCCGATGGAAAGGATAAAGAGGATTCCGCTTTAGATAACATCACGAACCAAGATGATTCGATAATGGATGACAATTTCGATTTAGACTTCAGTAAAACGAAGAAGAAGAAGAAAAAGAAGAAAGATTTAGATGAGCTCATAGCCGAAGCTGATGATAAGCAAGATGATAAGGAAAATGGTGAGTTTCCGTTTATTTAACTTTAAAACGTAACAAATAACATTCTAACACATGCTGCTATTTAGTGGAAAGTATCCCCGAAGCCGGTAAGCGCTTCTTTGCTGCGCATTTTAACATTTCAATTACTAAGCCAAATTTTGGTTGCAGTTGAAGATTCTACGGTCTCGTGGACGGGTTCCGATCGAGATTATACGTACGACGAGCTATTAAACCGAGTTTTTGAAATTATGAGAGATAAAAATCCTGATATGGTAGCCGGTAAGAAGCAGAAATTCGTCATGAGACCTCCGCAGGTTGTCAAAATTGGAACGAAAAAGACTTCCTTCGCGAATTTCACGGAAATTTGTAAAACGCTTCATCGGCAGCCGAAACATTTACTTGATTTCTTGCTTGCCGAGTTGGGTACTAGTGGATCTGTGGACGGAAATAGCCAATTGATTATTAAAGGTCGATTTCAACAGAAACAAATTGAGAACGTCTTGAGAAGATATATAAAAGAATACGTGACCTGTCACACGTGTCGTTCGCCGGATACAATTTTACAAAAAGACACGCGACTTTTTTTCCTACAGTGCGAAACGTGCGGATCGAGATGTTCCGTTACAAGCATCAAGTCCGGTTTTCAGGTAAATTTTCATTTTCGTTCTTTTAGCCGTTTTTACTTATTGTAATCTTTTTTTAGGCCGTTACAGCAAAACGTGCTGCCATTCGTGCAAAAACTTCTTAAGTACACTTGCTGCAATATTTTGTAGGTCGAAACTTTGTTAATTTATTAATTCAAAATTAATAACGGTTGTATACATTTATAAAAACATGTTGTGTATGTACTCAGCGATAGTAAAACCTATAATAGATTTTATAAAATCAAACTAACAAATACAGTGGATGATATAATTTGTAATCGTTTCATTGATTAATTTGAAAGCCACCATACCATTTTGGATTATAATTGTATGCTATGTTTGTCATTTTGCTTCATTATTCCATCAAAGATAGAATGAGATAATACTGATTAAATTCAGGGAAAATTGTTTTTCTATTATAACCTTTCATTCATCTTTTAATGTCAAGTCCTCTGCTTTCTGCTTTTATATTTTCCAATACCACCTACCTATCTCCATTGGATCTTGGTCTGCTCTTCTTTTTTGCTCTTTAGTACTCTTGTCTATATTTTATAAGCTGTATATATTACCGTCTGGTATAATTCTTTGTTCTTCTTTCGGAATATTCTCTTTTACCTTAATATTTTCTCCTGTGTGCGCTATTGCACTTGTTTTCTCTGTTCGTCAGAGGGGTAAATTACTCCTACAATTTTAAATATATTTACTTCGTTATTTTTGAATGTGGAAGCTTGAAGCCAATAAAAATAAAAAATAAAAATCCTGACGATTATTATACGCGTGCGCAGACGCAGTCAATTTTTTTTTTTAGATTTTTTTAAAATTTTAACCACATGCTTCTAATAAAGGACAACATCGCTATAGTAAAAATCAGATGTGTGCAATGCCAACTTGTGGGAAGTACTGATCAATGCATGAAAATTGGAAAATTCTCCTATTATCTTTCCCTTCCCTTAACTCGCAGTCCCAACTCAAAGGCTGTTTTAATCATTTTCTTTGATACAACCATTGTATTATGTAATAAAATAAATATACAACAATATCACGGTTCCTCGCTATAAGCGCGAGGTGGTGTGGTATATACCTGCCTCAGGTGCTTGTGTCCTTCGCTATTTAGTAAGGTGTCCTAATATGGACGTTTCGCCGTTCTTTCGACTCTTGGTAGCAGTCGACCAGACCCAGGTGGCGCGAGTAGGTACTACTTATATAGTTATACGACTCATACAGAGAAACATCAAATTAAAGGATCCGCCTTCTCGTATATGCTAAGAGACATAAGCGAGTTGCACTCCACACGAGATGAAGGAACAACATATAGTCATATACAGTGTAAAATCGAACTGCATGCAGTACTCCCTCCAAGGAATACTTAGTTAATTTCTATCTTAGATCGTATAAATGCCAAATAAACGTGCTGATAACAGCAGGAGAAATTGTATCATCTTTTCATAGACATGTGCTTTGTCTATGCATCTTTTGCACCCAATATTTACCGGCAAGAAAAGTTAGATGGAAGCGAGATAGAGAGCGGAGCTGCGCGCATCAATTGAATTTCAATAGATGGTGTGAAAGTCAATGAACTAATGAATCGGCTACCTAGTTTAACGCCCGCCTTTTGTTTAGGGCTTGCGTTGTTCACGATTATTTCCGGGAAACTGAAGTGGACAATTACCACAGCCCAATCTTCGGCATACGACTACTTCATTACAACTAGCTGTTTATGAACCACATCTCGAGATCCGTTGCCGCCAAAAAGGGATAAAGTATTCAATGACCAGTCTATTTCTTTCTTTTTTTATCAGCGTTAAAGCGATCATATTTCGGAAAAATTAAGGGGTGGTGCTTCTAAATTACGCCATGTGAAGAGCTCGCGCTACGAGCCGCGCGCGTTACTGTGTAGCGGAAGTCGCGCGGATGCGACGCTCCGTGTAAAGGCGCTTCAAAAACGTCTCGGACTTACCAATCTTTGGACTCACCATGTACATATACATTCATAGTCAATACAATGATTAACAAAAATATAGACAGCAGAAATTAACTTATATTAATTGTCGTTGTATTAAATGAAATTAAAGCATAATTTATGTAGTTGAATTTATAAAACATATTACATTCAAACTAATATTTTTATTTGGAAGATAATGATTTGACTTACTGCTAATTCGACAAACATGAATGGTGGCGCTCGGAACTGTCAAAAGTTCTTTTACTTCCGCGCAACATGGTAGGTACCGTTCTTAGCGTTTTTCTTCTTATTAAATTAAATAAAAACTTTAATAAAACTCTAGTGATAGCTTGTACAATTAGTAATAATAAACGCATAAGTTTTTTTTCTTTGCTGTAATAAGTAAATGGAATGGTACCCCGACAATAACCTCACTTTTATCGTGCCACCACATGCCCCAACAAGGCAAAATATTAATTTCACTTTTTTTCAGCCGTTCAAGAGGTTTGTTGAAACTGGTCGTATAGCCCTAATCACCGATGGTCCTTCCAAAGGAAAATTGGTCTCAATTATTGATGTCATCGATCAAACTCGGGTATGTATACATTGCGGTCGTATTTTAACAAGTATCATTAAATGATGATACAGTTAGTGATAGGAATTGCCGTCTGATACATATATGAAGCCTATTGTGTACTGAAAACTTTAACAACACGTCGGCCTCCTGTTGCGAGATCAGAAGTTATAAGATTTGCATTTCAGGTTCTGATTGATGGGCCGGAAACGGGAGTACGTCGTGGAGGATTGCGATTAAATCAGTTACAATTAACAAACTTCCGTATCAAGTTTCCGTACACCGCTCCCACTTCAATCGTCCGTAAGGCGTGGGCCAAATACAATGTAAATGAGAGATGGGCGAACTCTACTTGGGCCAAAAAACTTTTGGCAAAAGAAAAGGTACTTACTAATACTTCTTTGTTCCCTTTCTATTAAATGTATGATGATCCTTAACGATAGGAATTGCCGTCTGATACATATATGAAGCCCTCTTTTTTTTTCTGATAGCTTGTTGCATTATCATAGCTTGCTTTGCGATAATTTCCACTAATTGGCATTTTAATTTTAGAGGCAGACCCTTACCGACTTTGATCGTTTTAAACTTGGCAAAGCGCGTATAATTAGGAACAAGATGCGTACGCGTGTGTTCAACCGTATGAAGAATATCGCTGCAGAAAACGGTACATTGTATGGCAAACATAAAATGTCCAAAAAGCAGAGAGAAAAATATTTGAAAAAGGGGGACGCCAAACCCAAAACCGATAAGAAACAAGCCAAGCCTAAGAAGGCGGTTAAAGCAAAATAATTTGTAATATAATCTTTTATATTTTAAATAAAGACAAAACCTTATGGCTTAATTTTATTTAATTTTGATCTCTGGATGTCTTAGTGTTCACAAGATACTGGTTATTTTTAGTTTGATTTTGGAATCTTTCATTTCATTTGAAAGGAAGTATATGGCATCTAAAATCGTCGATTTGTCTTTGAAAATTATGATATACACATTTAAAGTGTATTTATTATACATTCCCAGTAAATAAAATTAATTTAAACTTATTGTTAATTATACATATTACTTTGTGGCTACTATAAATTGTATCAGATATAAGGAGTTTGTACATATGCGTAAATAGCTTTCATCTACTTCTTTATACAGGGTGATTCCTATAGTACCTGCCACCGTTTGGGAGCGTATAGGGGGTGCCTAGGGGAAGTCTTTTCATATAGGACACTTGGGGTCGGAAATCCAAAATAAGGGCGCCAGAACCAAATTTATCTTCTGGAATTTCACGCCTGTATGTAGGCAACCCAACCGACCGACGTTTCGCGCGGAGCGATGCAGAGCGAGTTAGCGCGAGGAAGCGACATGGGAGGGAAGGAGGGAAAACGACAGTCAAAAGCAATAACGTTTACAAGTGTTCAACGTGGCCACCGTTGTTCTCAATGCACTTCCTACATCTAGCCAACCACTCCCCTCGAACTCGCGTGAAGACTCCTATGTCCTGGCGAACAGCCTCTCCGGCCATGACGACGCGCGCAATTAAGTCCTCTTCGGATTCGACGGGAGTCTCGTAGACGTGCGCTTCCATCACACCCCACAAGTAAAAATCTAATGGGGTGATGTCGGGCGAGCGGGCAGGCCACTCCACCGCACCTCCACGGCCGATCCATCTGTCCGGATAGGTTTGGTCCAAGTGTTCCCTCACCTGCCGCCCGTAGTGAGCAGGGCACCCATCGTGCTGGAACCAGTGGTCCCAGTACAAGTTCACTGGAACATCCATTAAAAGTTCTGGTAGCACCTCGCGCAGGAAAATCAGGTAATTATGGGCATTTAGACGCGGAGGGAGGATGTAAGGCCCCAGTAGGTTGTCCCCCAGGATGCCAGCCCAAACGTTTAAAGAAAACTTGTCCTGGTATCCTCGCGTAAACGTTTCATGAGGATTGTGCTCCGCCCAGTAGTGGCTGTTACGAGGATTGAAGGTCCCCTCTCTTGAGAATCCTTTCTCGTCAGTAACTAGCACGCTCCTCAGAAAGTTCGGATTAGCTTCTTCCTCCTGGACGACTAAGTTGCAGAATTCCAGCCTCCTTTCATGGTCACCCGGCCGTAACTCTTGCACTTTCTTAAACTTACAGGGGTGTAAGTTGTTGTTGTTGGCGATGTTCCACACTGTGTGTTGACTACAACCCACCTGATCTGCTACAAGTCGAGTGCTAGTACGCGGGTTTGCCTCGAAACGTTCCAACACATCCTCCTCTAAGGCATTTACCAACGGGCGATCGCGATCACGGGCGCTAGTGGGCTGCGAAATAGGAGGAGGTCGGTGTAAACAAACAAACTTTTCGAAATGGGTGCTTAAATGCCCCAAGTATCGATGTGCATCACGAATCTGTGTGTAAAGTTAAGCCTCCGTCAGCTTACCTGCAATTGCCCTGTCTCGCACAGTCGGAAGTGAACTTCTTGAAAGACCTGTCTGCAGGGTAACTGACGGTTTGGATACCGCTCAGCGTACGCTCGTCGTGCAGCTCGTGCGTTACCATTTGCCAATCCGTACATGAAGTGCATGTCCGCGTATTCCGTGTTAGTGAAACGTGCCATAGTGTTTATTCACTTGATACGCGTCGTTGCAGACGGGATTTCGTGGGTTTAAACAAAATTCTGATCAAGTGTCAGCCACACATCGCCGCCTGAGATCGCTCCGTGTGCACCGCCGCCGGTTGGGTTGCCTACCTACAGGCGCGAAATTCCAGAAGGTAAATTTGGCTCTGGCACCCTTATTTTAGATTTCCGACCCCAAGTGTCCTATATCAAAATACTCCCCTACGCACCACCTACACGCTCCCAAACGGTGGCAGGTACTATAGGAACCACCCTGTATAGGTAGGTAGAAGGGGAAATTCAATGAGACTATGAGACCATATTGTATGGCCATAAAGATAAAATCTTCGTGTGCTGGTGGATATTCCATACACCATCCCCCCCCCCCCCGGGTGTTACATTCGATGGTGCTTTTCCAAAAACTAATGAGAGTGGCCAAGCAGACGCGTTTTTGGGGTAGAATGCAACATAGTGAAAACCCCCCAGTAAAAGGATAATAATTCAATGACAATGACCCTTTTCCTACAATCATCGTTATCGCCAGTACCGTCCAAATCATCATACACTTAATATATTTTGAAATCCGTTATTCATATTTGCAGTTTATGTGTAGGTATATTTAAACTAAAATGTTCTTTAAATAGCGCATAATAGAGGTATATTTCTCACTTTTGAAGGAAAAGTTCATACGTATTCACCATTTAAGTGGATTGATAAAAATGTTTCATACGACATGATAAGCAAGCTTGTCACCTTTGTTATACAAATTCTAGGCTTACAAGTTCTTTGTTCTTACGCACTCTGTACATTATCGCCATATCGGAGACACTAGTTGACGTCATTCATACTGTTATTGATTTCAAGGTTGCATATTTTTGTAAGGGCAGATAATTTTTTGAGAGCGTGTGTAATAATTCTTTAAGAAAGGGTATGTCTTTCAATTAGTATTATTTTTGAATATGTTTTATGCTTCCTGAATCTTTTAAGCGATTCCTGCTACTGCTTTGCAACATTAAAGACACCAAATGGAGGGTCAACGGTTTATGTATGTTAAGCAAGAGCTACTGAACAATCTGAGACAAAACCAAGGAAAGGTGCTAATTAATCCAAATTTCGTGAATGCAGCTATCGTCAGACCTCACATTAACAAACAATTCTTACGCAATCAATCGATACATATTAATCCAAATGTCATAAAGCAAAAGTGCGACAGTCACCGAACAGTTGTTTTAGTAGACGACGGAAAGGTAGTAGCAAACAAGGAGGTGAAAAAGCAACCATTGGTAGTATCCACCCCTACGAAGATTGTACGATCTCCTAATACTCAGAGTGGTTTGCACTCTAAACGTCGGTCATCTATACATAGCAAATACAAAATAATTCGAAGTACAGCCTCTACAAAAACTCAACGAGCTAATCCTTCCAACAGAGTCAAAAACAAATTTGCCATCGATAATCGGTCACCAGCCACCAAATTGAAGCATTTCTCCTTTAATAAAAATAAGTTAAAAGTGCCAAACGTTTACTCTAAAAATAATTTAACTGGAAACGGTTTGGTTTATAAAAAAAGTCATGTGCGTAACATTACCAAAGTTAAAAGAAAGCGGACTGTAGGAAGTGCTCTGAAGGTTCAAATCTTAACAATTCGCGGTCAAAAATATAAGTTGGATTCTGGACACCATACGCTGACCCTCATGAACAACCAAACGGAAAAACCGAAGCCCTCATTTAAAACCATTTATGTTGGCAGAATGGCGTTTAGACAGAAGGAACCAAATATTTATGTGAAAACGAATATGCATAAAAAATTTGCGTTATTAAGGTAATGGAACTACTTGTATACAAAATGGTAAACATGTATGTCTTTTAGTCAAGCAAAGCAGAGAAGTATAAATACGTTGACAAACAAGTTAAGAAAGTCGAATATTCCCTGCCCGCTCTACCATAAGTTTGGCAAGTGTAGAGGTAAAGACTCTGGAAAGTGTATTCGGTTGCATAATCCGGACCAAATCTCGCTCTGCCCGAGGTATTTTTGTCGAGTTTGATTTCTAGTTTCTATCTAGTTGTCGTAGGTTTCTACAGGGTGCTTGTACGAACAGTAAATGTCTCCTATCGCACAAGGTGTCCGCAGAGAAAATGCCGACTTGTAAATTTTTCCTAGAAGGGTTGTGTGCGAAGGACGACTGCCCATATTTGCATGTGAAAATCAACAGTAAAGCAGAGATTTGTAAGGATTTCCTCGAAGGCTTTTGTAGAAAGGCCGCTGAGGTTTGTTGTCTCGTGTAGTTGACAATTAATTTGTGTTTTCGGTTGCAGTGCGAAAAACGGCACGAATATTTGTGCCCTAATTATGAACGCTCTGGACAGTGCTCGAAGAGCAACTGTCATTACCCTCACGGACCTGCGGTAAGAAAATCTAACAATTCCAAACTAATTCTTCCAACCTTGCAGGGTAAAGTGAAGCATAAAGTTGGCAAGAGGAAAGTTGAGCATTCTGATACTGCTTTGGATTGTGCATTAGCATCAGATGCAAATCTGCGATATTATGATGACTCAAAACTGGATAAAGATCTAGTAGTTGGTAATAGAGTTCAAGTGGAAAGCATGTCGTCTTGTATACCTGTAAGACCTCGGCTGGGGACTTTGCCGGCTTTTATTCCTTTCTGTGACATGAGTCAAAATTCGGTTAAATAGTGCAAAATTAAAATACTTAACATTTTAAATATTCTAATGATATGTTGACATGTATGGGTATATTTTTTTTAAATAAAAGCATTTCAAGTTCCTATTACTACCGCGATTGAAAGTTATTTACAATAGATAATATCATTTCATGTTACCGAGTATAGCTGGATCATGCAATGGGTTCGAATAAACACACAATTAATTGATTGACAATGAGAAACATTTATTCCGAAACAAATGAACAAAATCCCTACAAGAGAGAGAGAGAGAGAGAGAGCTTGTGTGAAGATAATTATTACCCTGCTCATATGCGGTTAACAATTAAAGAAATCTTAAATTTACAGTTTTTTTCTTAATCAAATAATTTGGTCGTACAAGGTTTGCAATACTAGGCGCACAACACTTTTTATAACACAGAATTAGATCGCGAACAAAACTGGCATTAAGAATTTTCGGTGGCTGTTCGAACGGTAAGAATTTTTAACCTAATAAGAAGACAACCTTAACAAAATTCCTCGCTGTGCAATCGAACAACACGCGTTAAATCGTTACCACTTTAATGATCTTGCTTCTGCACAGAATTATAAAAATCAACTGCGTCAAACAAATAGGGCTGACTGCTCAAGAATTTAGCGTAAACAAATTTACACGCTCTTTAACCTTCTAGCAGCAGCCTCGTTTTCTAGCTGTTTCCAGGTATTTAAAGAAACACGAATTCCACCATAAAATCATCTACGAATCGCCAATCACGACGGAACGTGCCAATCGTACCCACATGAAATGCGCAATTCTACACCTGCGCCTTTGTTATGGCAGCTCCTGAACACATGCGTTAATTAATTTTTGCCTGACAAAACTTCTTATCGCAAACGACCAGATGTAGCCTTTTTTTTTTTAAATAAAGCAAACTGGACCAAATGTATATACTTCTAACAGCTTATCTAAATGGAATAATTTTCAAAAGCGAAAATTTAAAAAGAAACATTGAAATAAGCATTTTTATGCATCACTGGGCGCATCTTCCTTCTTTTATCATCAGGAGTCTGAGTCTTGAAGTATTATACGCCTCACAATGACACAGATGGAGAGGCGTTTCTTCCTATCTGTATCCCCTACACTATATATACAAAAAGTCTAATTTGAGACCCATTTTGTACAGTAGGCGTCTTTGCATTCGATAGTGCTTGTCATTGCCATGCTAGAACAACACGGAAATAAAATCAACCCGGTTTACATCAAATGGTTATTCTCTCCTAAAGCCAAACGGATTTCGCTTTAATTTGAAACCAGAAAGTGGCACGTAATCAAACATTTAAAGCAGGGCCCCCTTATAGTAGGAGAGCTGATACGACATTTTTGGGTAGGTATTTGAGGCACACTGGAAACTTGTCCAATGCTTCTCCAATAAGTTTCATCAAAAGTGATCAACTGGTGTATGACAGCCAATAGATCTTCTTTCAAGTTTTGAAGGCACCTGGCAAAGTGTGAGGCCCGACTAAATGGTCTGGCATACTTAATTTGTATCTTTAAAAGTATAAGGGGTTGATTTAGCCCCGCTTCTCCCCAGCCAGGTCTGCATTTCTGTGTTTGGGTATTATTGGAGAAGATTTGGACAAGTTGTTAGCGTGCCTCAAATACCTAGCCAAAAATATGTCTACCAGCTCTCGGACTATTACGGTAGTTGTAAACAACGCTATGACCTGAAGTGTCGTAAGAAAGGAACACAAAATAAAACAATATATTGGCTATTTTGAATGTCTTTGCATTTTGATCAGTTATTTAATAGTGATAAATAATTTCGAATGAAAAATAGTGAACTGTTATCAATGTATAAGACATAATTTGTCACAATTGTTTGATAATAAAAGCATGATAAATATAAATCAATTCACAAAGAACTGGTTGGGGCACAAGCAGGTAGCAAAACATATAGGTAGCTGTACAACAGATGACTCATCTTATGGTGCAATAAAACCTTTTTGATAAAAGAAACATGGAAAATTGCATAGTTTTAGAGGGCAAATTCAACGTTTAAAACTACAGAACATCTAGAAATTAGTGAATCGCAACTCATATATCATACAAAGATTCTAAACCGAAGAGTTATTTTGGTTAGCAGAATCTCGCTCCTGAGACAGGTAACAATGGGCTCTCGTGCGGGATTTCCCAACCTACAGTTGAGATTCGAGAACAGTCCCAGCACTAGGTGTGGTAACTAATGTGATTACAATTACTTACCGTTACCCCCCCTGTCTGAGACTGTCTCTTCAAGGCGAAGACTGTTAATTTACAGATACCATCTAAGTTGGGACCAACACGTATCATTATTGTAATAAAAACAGAAAAAAAATGTTTTTTATTGGCTGATGCGCCATGTTTCCTCCAGATTCGGATGTGTGAGGTCCGTGAATCTATGTTTTGTTGTGAATAAATTACGTTTAGTAAACTTATATATAAAATAACTTAGAAACGTTAGGGTAATCTGCATTATCATAGGTTGTATATACAGGGTGGAATCTCTCCAATACCTTGGACTTCATCAAGAATTGCGTAATTTGAATACCCCTCCTCATCAGTTTATTTTTAATCTGTAAACCCCTTTCATTTCCTCCACCTTCACCGCAAGGTGTAGAGACGGTAGATTTAAAAGGGTCTCCAGTGTTTAGTTTAACTCTTCTTGTGCCTCGGTTCGTCTCCATCACACCAATGCAGCATACATAGTGATAGGTTTTACATTTTTTTTACGTTAGACCCCCCGATAGAGGAAAAGAGGTCTTTGTTGGATTAACAGAGAGTTCCTAATTCTCACATCACCTTTGTACCAATTTAACGGCCCCTTGCATTTTGCCACACATGGTGCCCTCAAGCTTTCCACAGACTATTACAGTTATGTCATCTGCATAACCTATAGTTTTCAATCCTGCTGTGTTCTGGAGCCTGCAATAAGTCGTCCACAACAGGGGGGGATAGTACCCCTTATGGTACATTCTGATTAGCAGCAGTATGAATATTCCTGTGTTCCACAATCGCCTGTTTTCAACACATCTTTTGATAGATTTTAGAGGTGTTATCAAAAACCCTTTCAATATCTAAAAATGGGACCTAATGCACACGTTGCCAAGATTGTTAACTTTCAAAGCCAATCTTTATGAGTAATGATAAGAATTAAAAATAATATCTATAGCCTACTTCCATATATACAAAAATTTTAAAAATTGAACTTCAGAATTTTAGTTTGACATTAAATTTCTACAAAAATATTGTAACAAATTGAAGCAGAATGTTCCAAAGTAAGTAAGGGACAACAAACATGGATAATCTAGAATATTGTGTCTAAAATCTAAATTTCTTTCAGATTTTTCAGTCATTCAGCTAATCACTAACTTATCAGTAGCAATATACAAAGGCAAACAGATTAAAAACAGCAAACGTTCCAAAGATTTTAATACACGAAGTTGTCTTACAGTTACTAAACATACAAAACATAATACGCGCATTGATAACACAGATCTTGGAGGCTCGGGCGAAAACATGTGGAATTATTGAGGAAAAATACAATCGACCTAAAACACGTATTGCCTTCCGACTGGCCTTATAGGTTCGCTATCCATATTGTCAGTTTCTTGTTCTTCGGCCAAATCTTGAACGTATTCCTCCCCTTCGTTATTGTTACTACAGACGATGCTCACATACTTCGATTCGGGAATAATAATCTTTTGCTTGTGTAACGGTTGAACCTAGAAAAGCGTAATATATTGGCATTAAGTAAAGGCACTTCCTTTTCGTTGTGTACTAAATTTTAAAAAGCTAGATCACCTAGGGACGGCGCCCAGCGCTTCGATAAAACGGTGCGCGCTAGTTAATTAGAGTTAGGGGGATTTCACAAACACGCAATGTGTCCTAAATATGAAAAAAATATGCCAAAATTTGGCAATTTTATTCTGTAAACCTAGGGGGAAACAAGTACCATTTTTGGTGTAGACCAAAAATTCAAATTCAAATTAATTCACGTTAATTCAAATTGATTCTCGTTAATTCAAATTGATTCACGTTAATTCAGATTAATTCATGTTAATTCAAATTAATTCACGTTAATTCATATTAATTCATGCAGAGGGGTGTACACCAAAAATTCAAAGTTGTATCTCCCTAGCTGTAAACTCTGTTGCCTAAGCGAAAGTCAAAAAGTAGCAATTCAGGCAAATTCCCCAACCACCAATCGTTTGCTCAGGCAGATTTATTTTCACGTTGTGCAAGACAGCCATCTGGTGGTTCTGAACTCCACCGGGCACTTGCCCTCTACAGCTGTAAACAACAATTTCAAAGGAGGATAATATACAGTTTGATAAGAAATACAAAGTTGGTTAAATTAGAAAAAAATTGCGTATTTTAAGGCTTAGTGAAATGATATTCGAAAAAATCCGAAATTAACCATATTTGTTTTTCTGACTCGGCTTGCAAAGATATTTAAAATAACATTTCCTCATAGGCACTTTTTAAGCTCTACAAGATGATACTCGCAAATTTTCAAGGCGACGTTTCGTCTTTGAGAAACCATCATCAACTTCATATTTTTATATGGACCGGAAAAAAGGGACATATTATTGAGTTGCAAAAGTTGAAAATTCGATAATAAGGCTATAGGATAATTTTTCGAAATCTTAAAATACTAGTGCTTTTGTGAGAAAGATATGTGAAATTTATTAGCAGCAGAGTCAAAAATGGACAAGCTTGAATGAACGCGGTGTACAATGAAAAACTACCCTCTTACTTACCTGTCGTACATGTACCTGTACATACCTTTTTAAACCTTTTAAAGTTTGTCACATCACTCAAACAACTGACGCCATTCCCCACAACTTTTTCCTTCTTAATAACCATATCCTCGGTCTCGACGATAATCGCATCCTTAAATGAATTAATAAAACGCAACATATCTTCGTCCATATCATCTTCCGATTTGGTTGTGGAATCCATTGATTTGTCCGCCGATCTCGTATACCATTGGAAACTCTTTTCAAGCCCGCTGTCGACGACGGGAATTGCCGAGAAGTCGACCTCTAAACTGTTGAGCTCGTTTGCGGGTACACTTCCCTTTGGTTTTGGTTTAGGTGTCGACGTCACCTTCGTACTGTCCACAGTCTGCCTTTGGTCTATGTTTGTCGATTGTTTTTGGAAGAGGTTCGAAAAGGGATTCAACACCTTATTACCTGATACGGGCGAGGTTGCGTTATCTACACCAGTCTGTCCTTTTGACGAGTTTGCCTGGACATTCGGCTCCGCTTTGCGTTTTCGTGAAAAAGGATTGATGATCTGAAATTGCTATCTTTAAATGTGTTGTAAAAGATGTAACTTACCGCGCTCGAATTTGAATTTTCCGCTGCGATATTCGTGTGAGCAAAAGCGAAAAGGGACTTTCCTGAGACCGGCTTCTGAGTGTTTACCCTAAAAAAATCTATTGACAAATGAATGACATAAAATGCAATTTTACTTTTGCTCTTGGAGTGTCTCCGATTGGTCTTCTTTAAGGCTTTCGTCAACTTTAATTCGTTTACTTTCCCTCTCGTTATGATTCGAGTCACTTTCTCTTTTCACAGGGGACGATGAATCGCTTATTACCACTACCGCTTTACGATCGTCGGTGGTCTCTTCATATACGACATCGTCACTAAGCTCAGTTTTATTGGTTACGTTCATGTCAACATCGTAAGACTGAGGGATCACGGTCTCGCTTTTAAAATTTACTTGTTCGCTCATTACATCCATCGACTGCGTGGGCATAGCCAAACACGCCTCACTGCGCGCCACCTGTTGAGTGCTAGCCTTAAAAACGCACGCTTTTCGATTGAATTTCGGGTTACAGTCTTTTTCGCACGAGCAATTGATGATCGCCAACGCTATTTCTTGTAAGGGAATTGTTCGATTTCCCAGTTTCGTGTAATGGTGCAGAAAATCGGCCAACGATGGATTTTGTTTAATATTGTCATTAATGTTACTTGTTTGCATTACTATATAATCCTTCGAATCTTCATTCGCTATTTTCTCAACACTTATAGGATGTATATCCCAAGACACAGAGTCGCCACCTGTAAGCAATATATGAATGAAAATTCGGCTGGTTCCTAGTAACTGTAACTTACGGATTAGAAAAGAAAAAGATAATAATAACCAAGCGGAAAGATAAAAATAGATGAGATATAATAACCCTCAAACATATGATAGAAACAATTGTGAAAAAGCAAATCATGGTAATGGTGCAGGTAAAGCTGACAGAGTTCGTATGGAGCACCATTGACAAATACAACTTACATATCATAAGCTAGAAAAAAATTAATTATAAACTATGGCAGTAGTACCTGGTGATTTATTTTTAAGTGTAAACAACACTTTAATACATAGAAAAAATATAAAAAATATATACATTATACATATGGATTAAATTGTGGAAGAGCACGAAAAAGATATCTTTTTTGTGAACTTCGCGCCCTTTGGGCATATAGATATAGTTTGTTTAGTTTTTTTTCTGTGATTTTTTTATAGCATTTTTCACTTTTTTGTTCCATCAGTTGTTCTCTTGTAAAATGCCCAAATCCCAAAGAGAAGAAAAATGGGAATTGATCACAAGTAGATATGTTTAGAAATAACGTGCGTTCAATAATTGTTCTAGTCAGATTGTCTGCGTTTAATAGTTATCGCAAAATATGGCTTGCAATTATTATTTATATTTTCAAGAACTGAAACAGCGTAATAGCATAACGAGCGTGGTGTAACAGGACCTTTATTTTAAGACCCAAGGTTGCTTAAATAATATAATAGGGTTTTGTACATAAAGGGTTTGACCGTCCGTTATGGCACGTATATATTTTGAAACAAACCTTGAACTTCTCTTAGTGAACTTGTTGCATTTAATTTCTAATTCCTTCGATAGTAGGCAATAAATACTTCATCGTGGTAGAAACACCAACATATTGATAAAGAAACAAATTTAAATCTCGCGGGCCACATGCGGCCCCCGTTCTGAAACCTGCGGCCAATCACGATTTTTGTAAATTATAAAATTTAATTGTAGGTACAGTGTGCCCTATTTTGGTTGAGACTGCTGCAGTGTATCTCAGCTGTTTTTAAAGATAGACTTGCGGTTTTGTGAAACGTATAATACCACAAACAGAACCAATCTAGCTGCATTTGTTTCTGAGATAGAGGGTGAAAACGAAAAATTTTTGAGGTTTGACCCAAAGTTGGTATTTAGTAAATGCAAAACTCTGTATATCTTAACGTCAATTTCTTATCATTCCTTTTCCTGATTACATTGATTTATCACAACCTATTTTTTTTTTAATTTTAGCAATGAAACAATAAAAAACTTTTTTACTTCTTTAAATACTAGGCCATTGGGAGATTTCGTTTTGTTTATTGTCTCCATTGTAACTAAATAGCAGTCGATACCAATCGACAAAAATGGCTGACAGTACACGTCATTTCAAGTAAATAAATATAGGATGATACATTAATGTAATCACGAAAATGAATGCAACAAAATTGACGTTAACATACAATACAGGGTGTTGCATTTAAAAAATATTTTGTATTATTTTCTTAATAAAAAAATCAAAATTTGTTTATGTGAACTTTTTTATGATGTTGCTCTCAGTTATAAGTGGAAACTTTAAAATGGCCCTTGATGATAAATGAGTTTGACATGCCCGATTTACACTATTCTTAACTTGATTTACGCCGTTGCCACGTAGTTTCCCTTATCTCAAACATCCATAAAGAATCTAAAGATATACAGGGTGTAAACGGAACTAGGGAACGCGATTTTTCTCGGCAATTAGAGATACAAAAAAATCTTTCAAATAAAATTGTTAGTGTTTCTAGTAATTTATATAAATGAATGTAAATGAGAAAAAAAATATTTTAATTTTCGGAGATATACCTATTTTTGCCTTTTTTTTTGAAATGGTACGCCCTGTATATTTTTATACTATTTGGAAGAAAATAATTTTTGCTTTAAAAAAGTTTCATAAGTTATACCTTCTAAACTTAATAGAATTATTAAAATAATTTTACTTGAAATAATCGCTGGCTATTGAACCAACATTTGATTTCATATTTTCTTTAATCTCTTGAATTCTATTAAGTTTAGAAGGTATAACTTATGAAACTTTTTTAAAGCAAAAATTATAAAAATATACAGGACGTACTCTTAAAAAAAGGTCCAAAGTAGGTATATTTCCGAAAATTCTTTTTTCAGAGTTACATTAATTTATGTAGTTTACTAAAAACACTAAACATTTTATTTGAAAGATTTTTTGCATCTCTAATAACTTCCGAGAAAAATCGCGTTCCGTAGCTCCGTTTACACCCTGCATACACTTGAATTCCGCACAATAAAAGACAACTTAACCAGCTATTAAGTTTATATCGATTTACATGGACCTTCTCAATAATTTAAAGGGGCCTTAAATAACAATGTTTCTTAAAACAGGATACCCCCAAGCTTTAATGAGACAATTTACACAAACTAGTACCGTTTAATATCCAAGCAAAAATATTCTCCAACAAATGACTTCAACCAAATTTCTCTTGATATTGGAATTCTTAAACAAAAATTAATTCTTCTTGACTTTTTCAAAAATAAATGAAAATTAGCAGTAATTAACAATAGGTACCTTCTTAAATTATGCTTCCCGGATTGACGCCTCTTCCTCCTTGAACATTGGAACTACTATACTTCTAAAATGTTGACGCTTTTTAAGTTGGGTAGTCTAGCTCAATGGAATGTGGAAATAGGTAGTAATGCGAAAGGCTCGTTAAGCTCTCCTTGGTGATGGTATGTGATGACTAATGACTTTAACAATTATTTATTTGCAACAATTTCGTCTTTACAGTGTTTTTGCGGAACCGTTTAATAGCGCTTAAGACTAAATCACATCCTTAAGGTTACCCTTTTTGGCCTTACCATTGACAATCATTTCAATGTTGACAATGCCCTTGCCTTCATTAATTGACCGTTTTCGACTTGAACATACTTTTCTGGGAAAAACACCTCAAAAGTAGAAAACCAATTACGGTTCATGGTCATGTGCTTTGCACCAGAATCTGCGATCCAATCATTTTGGGGAATCCGCAGATTTGACGATATCCGATTGGCTAATAAACGCTGACCCTTCCGGACTCCTCTTAAACTTGAAATTCTTACAGTCCCGCTTATAATGGCCTAACTCGTAACATTTTGGGGAAACTTCTTTGACTTGTCGCTACACCCACAACACTTACTGTGATTATTAAATGATCGTCGGACCCCTCCCTTGAGGTGGGTGGAAGTTCGACCTTTGTGTCGCTTTTAAAATGAAATCACTTTCGCGGTTGAATTCGTAAGACGACCAAGGTTTGGCGTTTTTGATACAATAAGCGAAACATATACGAGATCACCAGAAGGGGCCGTAGCTACTATCCCGTGCCGTTTTAGTACATTTCCGCTTCTTAAATTATTCGGGCGTAATTTTGAGAATTTGACGTTCCAGGTCCCAGATATCGCGATTATTTTCAAAACTCGTAAATTCACTTTTCGGGCCAGAAAAGGGCACAACGGGATGGGTTAAACATTTGGTCCAGGTATGATTTCCCCTCAAAAATGTATGTATGGTTACCATTCATACTTGACATCACACGACAGAAACTTACCAGCGACCCTACGTTCATGCCACATAGAGAAAACCACAGCCAACTACTACCAGAACAATTGTTGAACACAAAAAAACAGAACAAAGCAAAAACAAAAAAAAACGCAATAGAAATTGACACACAAATAAACAAAGTTATTCAAATAATTATTCTATAGCACACTAAAACATTTAAAACTAAACAAACAAATGAAATTAACAAACATAAAAGGTAAGAAGGGAAGAATAAATAGGACAAGCAATTAAAAGGAGGGGGCATAAACTGAAACGAAGTCAAAAGGATGGCGCAAGAAAGAGAAACATGTTGAACAAAAAAAGATGAAAAAGAGTTCAAATTCGCAGTTAAGATGTTGGAGTGAGTAAAAGTAAACAGGGATTTCTTCGCAACCGGCTTCTGAATGTTTCCCCTAAAAAATGTGATTGAGATAAATGAATGACACAAAAAGCAATTATACTTTGATTCTTCAGATGACCAATTGTCTACCTTTATTCGTTTACTCTCCTTCTCATTATACTCCAAGTCATTTTCTTTGTTCGGCAGCGAGTTTACTTCCATTGACGCTTCAGTCATATTCATGCCAACATCACTTTCAAAATTTACCGATTCACTAGTTACATCCATGGAATGCTAATACATACCTGCATATCACCTGTCCAGTGCAGGTCTTAAAAACGCACGTTTTTCGTTTAAATTTCGGATTGCAATGTTTTATACAAGAACATTTAATTATAGCCAATGCTATTTCTGCTAAGGGAATTGTTCGATATCCCAATTTTGTGTAATTATGCACAAAATCCGTCAATAATTGACTTAGTTGAATACTGTCATGAATATTACTCATTTGCATGACTATATACTCCTTTGATTTCCCGTTCACTATTTCATCAACACTTACAGGATGCGTATCCCAAGACACAGAGTCACCACCTGTAATAAACACCTAGTAATTCTTGAAACTGAACTTTTTTTTTGGTGACGTCACAAGGTCGCGGCCTTGGCGAATGGGATTCCCTCACTAAGGAGTGACGTTGTTTGTGTCGCAACATTCAGGGTAGTTAGTGTCAAAACACCAGTTAATGTGCATATTTTTGGACATTTCTCGTAGCATTATTGCTACAGTAATATGAAATATGTAAAACAGATTACTGACCGGTAAGGTATACTTTGTATACCTCACTGACCGGTTATTCCCAACTTCACACTAGTAAAAGCAAGACCCATATATTACTATTTTTTTTAAATAAATGAATAAATGGATATTATGGTCATTGAATAAAAAGCTTTAAAATAGTATTTTAAGTCTGTTTCACTAAAAAAATTGCTAAAGGTTTTGCAAAATTGCTATGACCTTGACAGTGTGACAAAGATCCTAACAGATTGGGAAACTACAATACCTACTATCACACATCCACAAAATTATAATCAAATCAAATATAGAGAAGTGAAATAAAAAAAGAAGATAATTTGAAAGTGCCCGGCGAGGTGCCCGGTATAAATGGAAGTTATAAAAAAAATAAAGAAAGACCTAGGGAATGACAAGGAAAACCAGAGGACAACTATAAGGGTCATTACCTGCTAAATTAATTAAACCAACCATTTTCTCATTATCACTCTTTTTGGGAAACACGAACAGTTTATTTTTAAACAGCTCTCTTCTTTCCTCCTTGTACTCAAATGAGATATTGTCGTTGATAATCACCTCTGAACATTTCGGTACGTAGTTCTTAACGTCGGGAAGCGGTTCGTGCGCTTTTACGCACTTGACATAGTCATCCCAGTAGCTCACATTTACAATGGGAACGCCGGCTATTACGGCGGAAAGGACCTTAACTGTTAGCATCATCTCTTCCACTGTAACATAATTGCAGTCCTTTTTCCAGTTTTGCACCAGCAGTCCACCGAGAGTCACCATATTGTCTTTCAATTGAGTTTTGTGTTCGCTTTTAATTCCGGAGGTCGTATTCACTATTGACACCGCTTGAAATCTATTCTGAATTAAAAGAATTAAGGCGCACAGTAAACTACGTACTTATAGATCGACTGGAGCATTCCGAATTTGACTGTAGCACCATCTTGTAATACTGAGCTGGCATTGATCGTAAGTTTTGTATTGTTGATAAAGGTACCGTATCGCGAACCAACGTCCATAATACTCACTTTGTCATTCTGTAAAAAGAAAACATAACAAATGGGAATTTTAAATAACAACAACAACCGTTACTACTAATTCCGCATGTCTGCGACTAATTGACTCGTCCCTCACAATTAGTAAATCACAGTCTTTTCGTCCGACAGTATACGAAGTGTTTGGTAGCAAATAAAACTTTGCACCTAAAAGGTTATTAATTAAGTAATTGCATAATCATTCATTTCTTACCATCTTTTCCTATCAAAATAAAGTGCATTTTGTTGTTTACCAAAAGTTCATAATCATTTGAGAACCATATATATAAGAGAAGCGAATTAACATAACCTACAAGTACAAAACTTCAAAATTTTACAAACACATATGGGAGTGTTCAGTGATTGAACATGCAGGAAAGTGTAGTATTTGTGAAGATTAATAGAGGTCGCGACTGACAAAACAAAATTTGAGGATTACTCCTGGGCTTACAAAAGAATTTATGTTGATTTTAGAACTATAAACTCTATATACAGCTGTCTTGAGCGGCTATGTCAAGGAGCGATGTTAATTCGGAATCAGTTCCAAAATTGCTGCCACGTTTGACGTTGTATTGCAAATGAAGTTTTGTTGGTGTAGGCATCGATTATACATAATAATCAATGGTATAGGTATAGTTTCGATTTTGAGTCTCCAAACCCTTAATTACATTTGATCCACCATTTTCAGAAAAGTTTTCGATTTGTTCACACCCTGTATATATTGCGTCAAATGCTAAACCCAAACAGATGAAATTGGTAGGTTTAATTTTCTCGATCTATTACTTAGGTACATTTGGCCGAGCGTTTCACAGAACGTTAACTTCTACACCAGTTCTCAATTTAGCTAGCAATTTTTGATGATTTACACGAATAGTTACCTTTTAATGCATCATTCCATTCTCCATACTTTGTCAATATTATCACTACTACGCTACAATACGCCTCTCTAAGTGCCCTTTTCTTATTATCGCCGCTTGAATTTTTTTCCAATGTTCATCCAATTGAACCGCATACCACTGAAACTGTTTAGACCAGTTTCTTCCAATTTATGGCTGCATCTACCCCGATAATAAGTGATCTCGGTGGTTTTATCCTAGACATTGGGCGATTGTTGTTAAGTTATTAATTTTTGATTCTATACTTACAAATTAACTAAGCTTGATCTTTTCGCTTAATGTTCACACGATATAATATGCTTGTGTTTATCACGAATAATTACACTTTATCATTGTAACGTTTATTAATCAAGTACGACATAAATGCGTGCATATGATTGTTAGGCAACCCACTATACTTATATACGTACGTTACACCCTGTATATAAGAGCAGTGACAGATCGCACACGATCACGAACCTTAACGAATTTGATCGAATGAAAAACCGTTAAACGGTCGATTTGAAAGGTGAACAGATGACAATTCTTCTTATCAAAAAAATAAAATATGTCCCAAAGAGCGCAAATTTCAGCTGTAAACAAGCCAAAGTCTGCATGTAGCGTCGATAAAGAAAACTGCAATCCTAATCCACGTGAACAAGGCAATCAAGGGAAAACTGTGCACAAGAGTAGAATAGATCCGAATATAAAATTAAAAGCTTTAAATACCCAAAAGGATACCAATAAGGTAGTGAAAAATTGTCCAGAAATGTCGGAGGCAAAAGTGGGAGCCGTGTCCACACAAAGAACAAGCGAAAAGCAAGCAGATAGTGAAGTGCGGCATAAGTGGTCACTAGCCGATTTTGATATCGGAAAACCTTTAGGAAAGGGAAAGTTTGGAAATGTGTTCTTAGCGAGAGAAAAAAAGTCTAAATTCATTGTAGCTTTAAAGGTACTTTTTAAACATACGATCACAAGTTGCAATAACGAACACCAAGTGCGACGAGAAGTGGAAATTCAAAGTCATTTGCGTCATCCGAATATTTTACGAATGTACGGTTATTTCCACGATGACGCTAGGGTTTATCTCATTCTCGAATATGCACCAAAGGGTAAGACATTCACATCGGCTCCAATTAAACCGTCTGAATGGATTTTTGGAGCATATTTTTACCTTTTATTGGAATCTGTATGAGAGAGTTCATTTTTCTAAAGAAACGTACAGCTCTAAAAATGCATTCAATCAAATAACACAAAATGAGATATTTTAGGACACAGTATCTTATTCGACTCTTTCCAGGTGCATGTTATAACGAACTATTGGGTTCCGAAAATAAACGTTTTTCCGAGCCGACAGCCGCCAATTATATTGCTCAAATAACGGACGCCGTAAAATATTGCCATTCAAAGAAGGTCATACATAGAGACATTAAGCCCGAAAACCTACTAATCGGCTCTAAGGGCGAAATTAAAATCGCAGACTTCGGATGGTCGGTACACGCGCCGTCATCACGACGCACCACACTGTGCGGAACCCTAGATTATTTATCTCCCGAAATGGTAAACGGACAAACTCACGATGAGAAAGTCGATCTCTGGAGTATAGGCGTTCTCTGTTACGAATTTTTAGTGGGAAGGCCACCGTTCGAGTCGAAATCTTACAATGACACTTATAGGAAGATTAGTAAAGCTATTGTTACTTTTCCGTCTCATGTGTCTGAAGGTGCTAAGCATTTGATTAAGAGTTTGTTAGTCGTTAATCCTAATTGTCGTTTAGACTTGGATGGTATCTTGTGTCATCCATGGATTTTAATGCACAAGAAGACTGAAGAATTGTAAAATGTGTTAATGTCTGTAACTAGTTTTTGTAAATGTAATATTTTAATATATTCATGTATTTTATATCCAGTGTTTTGTTTTTAATACTCAAAAGTTAGAAAAAATAAAAGAAATGTAAAAAAGTGGTTTTCATTGAAATTAGGGTGCTGGAATGCAATGGCTAAAGGGAGTATGACATTCTCCTACATATGTACAATGTTAGTTTTTAGTACCTACACTTTCTAGGATGAAGTTTCATTCGCAATTGTATTAGAAATGCCAGTCAATAAAAACTTGCAAGCCAGGATGATACGTACTACACATGATCTTCGCTCCAAGTTAGTATTTATGTACGTACTCATATACAGTGACATTCATGTAGAAGTATACAGATTTCCCACTTTTACATGATAAAAAGTCTCCTGAAAGACGCCTAATTTTATGCAACCAAAGTAACTACCGGCCTACATCAAATGAGGATCTGCCTGTCATGTTCGTGTGCGATGTATTCAACTAAAGAAAAAGTTGATATTTCCAATTGGTATAGTGCCGATAACAGTTAAACGAGCGTAAGAGATTTATTTTCTGTAAAGCTAAAGCAACAATATTCAAATTAATCATATTAATATGACAGCCAGATCTTTATTTTGTTTCAAGATGTTATTTTGGTTGCATAAAATTAGGCGTCTTTCAGGAGACATTAATCATGTAAAAGTAGCCTATAGGAAGTTTACCGAGTTCACCGAATAAAAATAGAAATAGGGTGGGGAAAAAAGAACTTACCAATAAAAAAAAACCAGCCGTCAAATTAATATTAAATTGTGTTTTTTGTTTTGTAATGATGTGGATGCGTAACATAAAATTATAACATCACAAAAAGTAGCATGTAGACTTCAAGAGGTAACAAAAGGTTAAAAACAAGTTATGAGAATTATATGGGTCAGGTAAGCAGGTACCAAGATTCTAAGAAAGGGGAAATACACAGAACGTGACTCATCTTTGGTGCAATAAAGTCCTTTTGTTTTGCAAGATGGAAAATTACATGGCCTTGTAGGCAAACTCAACTAAAACAAGATATGTGAAAATTATTGAATCGCTACTCATTTATCGCACATATATTCTAAACTGAAGAGCTTTGATTAGCGTAATCTCCTGCAAGATAGGTAACCCGCCCTCTGGTTTCGAGGTTTCGAGCCTACAGTTGAATGTCGAAGACAATCACGGAATTAGGTGTCGTAACTCAATTTTGACTACAGTTTTTTTTCCACCCTCGTGACTGCTTCATTCACGGAGAAAATTGTTAGTAACAAACAACAAGTCAGTACACACATCAAACGAATCGGTAATATCCACATATTAAAATAAAATGATCAAAACTTATATGAATGTTATTTCAGGGGCAAGACCAAGTAATCAACATTAATAAACATAAATTAAGTAAGCATTACACCAAAAACGTAAACAATTACAAACAACAACATAACGGTATCACATACAGTGAATTTTTTTTAAATGCGAACATAGGAGTTTGTATGTAATTTCCCTATGTTCGATTTTTAAAAAAACACATCAATCTATTGAGTAGTTCAAATGAGTAGTAGATACAATTGACAGCTGTCATATTTTTAAAAATACCGGCGTCCAATTTAATTACGAAATCGGTTAGGTTATTGCTTAGAATGTCAAGGAGGACATTTATTATAATTGTTTTCGTTATTTATTTTCTTATTTTCTTCATTTATGTATTGAATAGATCAAATTAGTAGGATACCAGGTGCACATGACCTACAAATAATTGAAGGTTGGTTCCAATGAATAAAGAATACCAGGAAGAAGCATATCAACAATATACGTGCGACCGCGATGGCTTTTGCAAATGGCGGACAGTAGTTTCCTGTTCCAGTGGCGTACCTACCTTACAGTTGTAGAAGGATACAATTATAAAGAATTTTACACGAAAACAATCTAAACCCCCATGTGTCTACTCCGCCTATGACTTTTGTTTAACTAAAGCCGGATTTATAGTTCCGTAGCCGTAATAACGTAAGAACGGAACCGTAAAGTCTTACGTTAACGAAAATAATACGATTTATAGTTCCGTAGTGTCAAGTGGCAGCTTGCGCATTAGCGCGTAATGAATTCTGTCATTGTATGTCATCTGTCAGTAAGAGTAACGTGCATTTCAAAATAATAATAACCAACAAAGTGTCAATAATTATTGTAAATAAACGAAACGAACGTCAGAATAAACTCAACTGTTTGAATTATCCGAGTACTACCGAAGACAAGCGCGTTAGCACGATTTACCGTAAGAAATAAGATTTGGGCATTTCCTACGTACCGTAACCGTTCTAACGCAACGTTAACGCGAACTATAAATGTTCACGCGCAACAAGTAGCGTTTAAAGCTGAATTTATAGTTCCGTACCCGCAACGCCGTACCGTAACGTTTGGAATTAAACCCTACTTGTTGCGCGTGAACATTTATAGTTCGCGTTAACGTTGCGTTAGAACGGTTACGGTACGTAGGAAATGCCCAAATCTTATTTCTTACGGTAAATCGTGCTAACGCGTTTGTCGTCGGCAGTACTCGGATAATTCAAACAGTTGAGTTTATCCTGACGTTCGTTTCGTTTATTTACAATAATTATTGACACTTTGTTGGTTATTATTATTTTGAAATGCACGTTACTCTTACTGACAGATGACATACAATGACAGAATTCGTTACGCGCTAATGCGCAAGCTGGCACTTGCCACTACGGAACTATAAATCTTATTATTTTCGTTAACGTAAGATTTTACGGTTCCGTTCTTACGGTCTTACGGCTACGGAACTATAAATCCGGCTTAATTCCAAACGTTACGGTACGGCATTGCGGGTACGGAACTATAAATTCAGCTTAACCTCAAACTACATTCCGATAAAAAATTTGTAAATTTACATGTACTATGTAAAAATAATATTGGTATCAATACTTACACATGAAATGTAATTCCCAAAGTTTTATTTTTTTCTGTTTTGGAGCAACCACAAGCACAACAACTAACCATTCTTTTTATGTCACTGCAACAGCCACAACAACAATGACTCATAAGTGGCTTTTGCAAATGGCCGACTTCCGTCGCACTCTCTCTCGTATACAACTTGATTGATGCTCCTTCCTGGTATTCTTTATTCATTGGTTGGTTCACAATCAGTTGTCGTGTCAGTGCGTGGCCTGTGAGGTCAAGTTATCGTAAGTTTAAGAAAAATGTATCTTAAAGTTGCTATGGCCTCACGTGGCTTCTTTAAAAAAATCTTACCGAGTGCTCTTCATCATAAAGACTATAGTTGCTGTTCATATAGTCACACAAGTTGCGCGATTTGGGAATGTGAACCGCGCACACCTGATAGGTTGATGTGTTTTTTTAAAAATCGAACATAGGGAAATTACACTGCATGCAAACTCCTATGTTCGCATTTAAAAAAAACTCACTGTATATGATTCTGCATTGCGGTTAAACCAAGTAAATTTCAAAAACAAAGATTCAAACACACACAAAAATATAAAATGCGGCATACAAAACGCAAATACGATATAAAGAAATGCAAAAATTACTACCTGCATTAAATAACACAAAATAACAACAAACATTTATGCAACGACGTGTTCACGACCGCCATTGTATTTGTAATACATTTACTGCACATTATTGTTATTATTATTATTATTATTATTATTAATTTGGATTTCGTTAAACATAGGAAAATGTACCGCTTCATAGTAAACGTGAATAAAAGTATGTCGGGAGACAAGAGGGATAATCGGCGCGCATTTTGACTAAAAATCAGGCCGTTTTTAGTATCTAGAGATAAGCGCCTGCCTCGCACTGTGTTGCCAGTTCTAAAAACCGTCGCGACGGAGAGGTAGGGGGGTTCTTGCATCATGCATGTGGTGTCTATATGTGGAAAAATCAGAGAAGAGGGAACCGAAGAATACTGTTTTTTAGCATTAATCATAACGGTACCGGTACTGGTTCGCCTAATCATAAATGATTCAAAACGGTTCCGGTACTTTAAATGCAATCGGTTCCGGTTTCGGTACTGATTCTTTTTGATAGCTGCGCAGATCTTGTTGGTCTTCGTGTTTCTTGCGTACAAAAATGAATTCCATTCCCAGTTGGGTTAATGAAAAAAGTCTCCTCATGTAAACATCAGTTGCAATGAATCAATACCCCATCAGTCCCCCAAAATCGAAAAATCGCCGGGCGACTGGGACTATCGAGACCAAAATTGAGTCGCCGATACTGTATGCGGGAAGTATGCGTATGTGAACGGCTCCATAAGACGCAATGTTTCAAGTGTGTCTGAGATACCCGGTATCCGGGGACTGTATCTTCCCGTGTAAAAGCGATCTTAACGTGCGAATACATTGCCCCTATTCTCCATTTTCCCTTCTTTCGACAGTTAAGTTCTCCAGGTATTCGAATTTGAAATTTCGACCCTTTTAAAATAATATTCGCGTATTAGGATTAGGCCCTTCCGACTGATACATGGCTTATTGTCACCATCCGCTTCCACTTTGCAACTACTATCTCACGGAAACCGGGCAACCCATTCTTATTCATATTTATTATTATTATTATTATCCCTCTCTTGTTTTGGGCCCTCAACAGGCATGCGCCCAATTACAGAGTGACCCGCATAATGCTATTTAGAAGTGCCTCTGCAGAAGGTCTTAAGTTGGTCTATACTACTCCTGTATTTACCTCACGAATTAGGAAAACTGCAGGAAAACCTAATTCGGAGTAGCCGGTAGAATGCTCGGAACTGGTCTAAAGTAATTTCCATCTCCGCCATAGATGAAAAATTCACCTCAATCCAGGTTCGAACACCCGACCTCCGGATTTATAACCCAATGCTCTACCACTGAGCCATAAATCCGATGATTTGACCATTTGGCCCCACCGACCGATACATCCCGTCTCCTACCCTTCATTTTACCTTTGCAAGTACCTACTTGTTCTCACTTCTCGAGATATTCAAGTTTTCACCTCACCAGCGGATAGGTAACCCATCACTATTGTTAGTACCCTATTCC